CTCAGGGGCCTGCTGGAGGAGAGGAGAGCCTGGGGGAATGTTGCCCATGGGGACACAGAGAATTACGCACGGCTTTGTGACCGGACAACAACATTTCCCAAAAACTGATGCTTCAGTCACACTGGATGCCCCAGCATCGCTTAGATAAGAGCCAATTGTTGGAGATACAATATTGGCACAATATCTCCATAAGTTTGGCAATGCCCAATGACAGCCTTCTCCTGGGAGGAGGTAACGATTTGGATAAATCTTGTGGTGGAAACTTCTTTAATACTGAAGGATACACATGTCCCTTTGAATTCCCGACTTGTCTTTTGGAATTTAGTGCAAGGTGAGTGCAAATGTCTTTTCCACACCCCTTTGACAGCTAAAAGACTAGAATTACAACATTGGGAGATTAAGCAGTCGCCTGTAACGACACAATGAGAAGTTAATGAAGCTTTCAATTTTTGAATGGGTGGACTTTAGGCATACTAATCTGCAAATGGAGATTATTTATGGATATTTGGGATGGCTGCGTTGGAGTCTCCACAGGATAATTTTTAATAACAGTCGTATATTATTTTGTAATTTGTGCTACAGACCTCCTTACTTTTCTCTTTTTTTTACAAAACCGGTAATGCTTCTGTTTCGTTTCTTTGTTCTGTAACGGTGTGGTTTGGGTGGTTTGGTTTTGTTTTTGTATGGTGCAATAAAAAACAACACCTCTGTGTCTCTGATTATGCTGATGAAGATACTGTGGCTCGGGGACTTTTCCTCCTTGTTGCTCCAGGATTGCTTCTTTTGCTTTGCGCAGCTTGCGCTGTAGCCAGTCCAGCCACGGAGGGCCCTGCCACATACAGGTGGCTGAAGGATCAGTCCGTGCCCCGGCTCAGGCCTTGGGAGCGTGTTCCAAGCTCAGCATTGTGACTCCAGCCTCGGAGTGCCCTCCCGCCGCCCTTGCAGTGGCCCTGGAAAGCACGGTGCCCGTGGCTCCAAAGAGGGGCTTTTGGGCGTGGGAAGGGAAGGAGACAGGCGCGTATCCCGGTGCCGCATCAGTCCCTCTCTCGGGGCAGGCCACTCAGCCAAAATGGACGCCTTCGTTTTTTACAAGACAGGAGAAGCTAGGGGCAACCTTTGCCTGGGCACCCCTGCTCTCCGATGCTCTTTGCTGGGTGTTATGAGCTTCATTGTGTTGCACCATTGAGAAGGCAGCCTGCAGCTGGGGAAGCCAAACAGGAACTGTATGACGCTAGGACTTTACACCTGAAGGTTTCCTTCCTTCCAACCACCCTCCGACACGCAGTCTGTTTTCTATTTTTTAAAAAATATAAGCTAGTCTACCACCTAAACTGAGTCACCAGCTTCGCTGGTAACCTTCCTCTTTTCCATTGCCACGAACTTCCTCTTGCCGGACGAAGAGACTAGAGAGCCTGAAAGATGGTAGCCAAGTATTTTTGGTTTGTCCCAATAAAAGGCATGATCTGTGCATCTTAAGATCGTCTGAAGGGGCAGGTGAGCTTCCTCTCACTCCTTTCTCTTCTTTCCCACAACTTCCTTTTTTGGGGTGGAGGAGAGACGCTTCAGATCTCCCATACATGTACCCCCCCCCCCAGCCTAACAGCTCTGATCAATGAAATGCATGGGGAAAATTGCAGCTGGGACACTTCAGGAAATGGCCAGCAACCACAACTTTACACGGTACCGACCTGTGTGGAGACATTTGGTCCTGGCGAGTGTCCTCAGACAAGGACAACCTACTAAAATAGTCCCTCCCTTGTCCTTGAGGAAAAACTCGCACACATTGAAAATAAAAGAATAATGCAATAAGCTGCAAAGAAAACGGCACCCAAACAATACCTTACCTATGTTTGTTACTACAGTACTGGCTACTATCGCTCTTGGAAACATTCACGCTCCGGAAAGTTATTTCATAAAGTTATTTCAAAGTGCCATTGCTGCACTTAGTACACAGAAAGGGTTCTGCCCCAAGGAATTTACAATATGTACTTGACAGATAGAAGTCAGTGAGCAGGGAGGTTCATAAGGGCCCTGGTACAAAGGTTTCATTTTCTCCAAGGTGAAGAGCAATGGGGTTCTGTCGTATTCACTTGCACCCGTCTCCATCCCAGTTCTCCCAGCCAAGAGCCTCTTGCTCTCAGGAGCTGGGGAATGCTGGGAGATAGGACTTGATTTTCAGTCTCAAGAAATGCGGATTGTGCCGAAAAGAACCCCACCCAGCTGCTCCCTCTGCCCATTTGGTCCAAAACCCTTTCCCAGAATACCTGCCTGATGCTCCTTCGCTCCCTTCTTTTGAATTCCACCTGTTCCACGTGGCCTTTGGCGTATTCCATCGGTCCACTTTGCTGCCCACTGTAGCTAAAATTAAGCAAATTTCGTTCTCTCCATTCTGTGCAGGCTCCTTGAGGGCAGGGACCTTGCCCTTTTGCTTCAAGCACATCTTAGCATAGGACTGTGCCCTAAACCTTTAAGTTGCTCTCCACCCCACCTTGGTGCCTGGAGAATGTGGGCACTTGCGGGGCTTTTTCCAGGCTAAACATGCCCGAAGGATCTCCACTGATGCCCCCCCCCCGCCGCCCAGCGGCCCTTCTCAGCTGCAGCGCATGCCTGGAATCACTACATGGCACTGCTTGTCTCCTTCCTCGGATCCTTCCCGTTCCACAAGGCTCTTACTTCTTCCATCCATATTCCCAACAGTAGTTAAGCATTTTCTAAAATATATTCTCCCCTCGTTCCCTCTCTCGCTCTGCCTTTTCTAGGGGAGGCGCCGATCCATTTGTCTCGCATCTGTTACTCCTGACAAAACAACACACAAACTGAAGACGTTCCTTGTATTTATTTACTTCCTGAAAAGGTATCAGAGTGGTGAGCCAGAAAGAAGTAACCAAAAGAATAACATTTGGAGACCCATTGTGGCCTAGTGGTTAGAGTGTTCTGGGTTCAGCTCCCCACTTGGTCATGAAGCTCACGGGGTGACTTTGGGCCAGTTCCTGACTCGCAGCCTTACCTACCTTGCACGGCTGTTGTTGTGAGGATAAAATAGAACTACGTAAGGCAGGATATAAATGCTCTCCCCAAGGAGATTCACCTGGCGCCTTTTTACATTATTTTTGGCACCACGCAAGGAGCATCTGTTAAAAAAAATCAATAATGTCATTTGACCTTTGTTTTGTATTTCTGCCTGTATGTTACTGATATCCTGTTTTTCATATGATGTAATTGGTTTTTGTTGTCTTTTTAAATGTGATTGTGAGCTGCCCAGAGGTGCTGCGGCACAATTGGGTGGCATCCAAATGTTTTAAATAAACAAAATAAATGTACTGCTAATAACCTCACAACAGCCCTGTTGGATCAGGCTAGCAGTTCCTCCAGCTCAGCCTTGGCTCACGCAGCGGCCCACCAGCTGCCCACCAACAGGCCATGATCGCCCAGCAACTGACCTGCCTAGCATCCTTCCCCCACACCGGAGGAAGCACATCACCATGAGGACTAGTAGCCATGGAGGGTCGTATTTCCCCATGAAGTTGACTCATCTCCCTTTAGAACCACCCAAAGCCGCTGGCATCTGGGCTCGGTGCCACCACTGTGTTCTGGCAAGCATTGCTGTCGATGGCAAAGGGACCGTGCAGCCCCCTCGCCGCACCCCCAAATTTGCGCGAGCACCCCGACCTCGCGCTGTGCAACCGCAAACAACACAAGGACGGACACTCGTGCACCCAAGTGTCCAAACACGCCGTTCCCACCGCATTTCCCCGCGAGTTTCTCTTTCGTGCATCTGGCTGCGGGATTCGACCTCGCCGCTGGGAGGGTTGGGTGCCCCCCCACGCCGCCCCTGCAGGACCTCCTGGAGCAGGGCCGTCTTAACAGCATTATGGGCCCCGGGCAAAGCAGGGTGCTGGGGCCCCTGCGACAACGACTCCCAGTGCCGGTGTGTATCAGGAACGATGCAAAGCAGAAAAGAGATTGGCAACTGGGGAAGTAACCTTACGCCTCTGATCGGTATGTATCCTATGTGATACAAGGTGCATTGAAGGGTTAACATACACAGGTGAGTATGGGGCCCACGGGCAAGGGCCCATCCGGCCCGTGCGTTCAGACGGCCCTGCCGCTGGGCCTGGAGTGCAGCCACCAACTGTCAGCCCGCTGTTTCGTGCAGCCCTTGGGGTATCGAGCTTGCCCACCCCTGCTGTAACTACCTGCAGCGTGAAGCGCCAGTTTCTAGGCACATTCCCTAAGTTTAAAAGAAAAAAAAAGAATTTACAAGAGGCTTCTGTCAAATCAGCCTGAAGCCAGCCCGTTCTGTCAGCCTGGGCCAGAACCCCTCCTAAAGGAAGCAGTATTGCTGAAGTAGGTGTATGTTCCTCGAAAAATTACCCTAATCGGGTTTTGGGACTTTGCAGTCTGGTGGGTGCTACTTTCAGGGCTTTTTCTGTTTCTTGTTTCCTGTTACCAGCCTGTGTGTGGGTTTTTCAGGGCAAGCGTGACCAGTGGTTTGGAAAGATTGATGAGGGACAGGGATCTGCATGTTGAAGTTGCCAAATTGACGGTTAACATCCCAAGTATCGTAGATTTTGGGGCCCGGCGCGCTTCCTCTGCCCCGGAACGAAGCAAAGCAGAAAAGAACTGAAATTAGCAACTGGGGAAGTAACCTTACGCCTCTGATCGGTATGTATCCTATGCGACGCAAGGTGCTCTGAAGGGTCACCGTGCACGGATGAGTGTGGGCCCACGGGCAAGCGCCCATCCGGCCCGCGCGTTCAGGCGGCCCAGTCCGGGAGGCGCAAACGCCCCGGGCGAGGCGAGGCGGCGCGGCTGCTGCAGCTCGACTCGCGAAGGCGCGGGCTGCGCTCGGGGCGCCGGCGCCGCCTGGGATCGCGTAAAGGAAAGCGAAAGGAGCTCGCTCTCGGCGCTCGCCGCCTCGGCCGGGGGAGGAGCTGCGCCGGGCGGCGCGGGCTGCTTGGCGACCGGCGCTCGGCACTGCTGCGCGGCCGCCCGGATGCTGCGCCCGCGCCCTGCAGAAGCGCTCCAGGCGGCTCGCAGGTAAGCCCCGCGCGTCCAAGTGCCCGCTGCGCACGGCGGCCGGCCTGCGGCCCGAGGGGAGCGCAGCGGCCGCGCAGGGGCCGCGGCACCCCCTGCCCGTGTTCCCCAGCAGCGGGTGCGCATCTTGCCCCTGGGGGGGGGGGGGCAGCAGCGATCCACCAGGACCAGTAGCCCCTCGCCAGGGATTTGCCCAGTCCCCTTTTCACGCCGTCCACGTTGGTCGCCGTCGCTGCATCTCGCGGAAGGGACGTGCATAGCTGGACTGGGCGCTGTGGCCGTAGAAATTCTTCCTTTGGTCTGTCCAAAAGCTGCCAACTGTTAGCCTCCTTGGACGACTCTTTGGAGCTCTGGTGTTCCGAGGAAGGGAGCAAATTGTCTCCCTTCCCTCTTTCTCGCACCTTGCGGTATCCTGAACTCCCCTGCCCTGCCTCACCTTACAAAATGATGGCTTAAAAGTGCCTGGGATGAGGCTATTACCTCACTGAAGCCATTAAAAAGTGTAGTTCCCGTGTGCTGGCGAAATTCCCTAGGCAAACAGATGGATACAGATTTGCAAAAGCGAGAGAAGAAGCTGATAATGTGGATTGGCTTCCTGGCCTGAGCCAGCTCAAGTGCTCTGCTCTGCAGGAACTTTCGTCTGCCTTTGGCATGTGGTGCTGAGCCTGCGACTTTCCTTCCCACCCCCTGCTCCTGCTGCGTCTTGCAAAATCTCCTGTTTTTTTTAACAGCTGGGTCACCAGGCAAAATGTCTTTTATCTGTCACATGTTCCTGCCTTTCCAATGGGGATTCTGCATGGTGACCTTGGATGGAAGGGGGGGAGGGAGAGAGGGAGGGAGAGAAGGAGGAAGGCCAGAACATACTTTAAAGACAGAGATCCCTTTTCTGCCCCAGGCCCTATTTGGGTTCATTCTTGACCAAGAGTAACTTCAAAGTCTTCTTTCAGCAGCCAGCAGCTTCGCCCCTTTGGGCAGGCTTGGCTTGCATAAGAGAAGGAACTCCTGGGTAACTTGCGTCCCCTGCCATTTGTGTCATTGTTGTGATAGTTCTTTTTCTGTAATGATTTGTGTGAGTCACCTGGTGGGTTTTGACTGTGAAGACCTTGTCCTGCAGTAGCGTCTTTAACTGAGCCCCCAAAAGACTGCCTGGCAACGGTGATTCATGCTCTGGTAATCTGGTTGCATTATTGCATCATACTCTACGTGGGGCTGCCCTTGAAAATGGTCCGGATGCTTCAGCTGGTACAGAAGAGAGCGGCCAGGTTGCTGATGGGGACTGGTGGTTATTCCCATTTCAAGCCGGTCCTCTACCAGCTCCACTGGCTCCCAGCTGAAGTCGGCCCGATTCAAGGTGCCGATTTCGACCCATAAAGCCCTGAACAGCTTGGGACAGGGATACCGGAAGGAACATCTCCTTCCGTATATGCCCTCATGCCCCTTAAGATCTGCGGGAGAGGCTCTGCTCCAGGAACCCTCCCTGAAGGAGGTAAAAAGGACAGCTACTCGGAGCAGGGCCTTCTCTGTGGTGGCGCCCAGATTATGGAATGTGCTCCCCGGACAGGTTCACCTGGCGCTGAGCTTATACTCTTTTTGGTGCCAGGTCAAAACCTTTTTCATTTAACCTGTATTTTAAAAACTAGTGTTAATGTAACAGCTGCGTTTTATTGCTTTTACCACTTGGATTGTTTTAACATATGTGATTCTATCGATAATTTTAATGTATTGATTGTCAGCTGTCCCGCGATGCCTTGCATGGGGGACAGCGTACAAAAGTTTTACATAAATAAATATATCAATAACTAAATGAGGATGGGACGGATTTTGGCTCTCTGGGAACACAACTCCAGCTGCAGCCTGCAGCCTGCTTGCACGGAAAGACTCCCAACGACCTTTAGCTGGGGAATGCTGAGAATTGCAGGCTTAATTTCCTCGCTGTTTAACACACAGGTTCACTCTTAGTGGCTAAAGGTTGTTAAGGGTCAACTCTTACGTCAAGAGAAACCTGTTATTTCATATATATTGGATGCGAAAGGAGGTGGTTAGAGGGATTAGACGAAAGAGGAACCTCCGTAGGAAATGGGTACTGGGGGAAATAGACAAAAGGGAATACCGGGAGGAGGAGGCCCGTTGCAGGAGGATTCTTCGCAAGGCTAAGTCTGATTACAAGCTGAGACTTGCCAAGAATATCAAGAGCAACAAAAAGGGCTTCTTTCAGCATGTAAATAGGAAGAAGAAGGGGAGACCAGTGGTGGGACCACTAAATAAGGAGGAAGGAGATCCAGTGACTGATATGAGGGAACAGGCACAGATGCTAAATGACTACTTTGCCTCTCTGTTCTTCCCAAAGCAGGACGGGGGATATCCGCATAGGAGATTAGATGAGGCCGGGGACTTAGGGGCACAGATTAGAGTCACCCTCCTTGAAGTCGAGGGGCTCCTCAGGGCACTGGACATTACAAAGGCGCCAGGCCCTGACGGATTACACCCGAGAGTACTTCGAGAGTTGGCCAGGGTTCTCTCACGCCCGCTGGCCTCCATTTTTGAGGCCTCGTGGAGAATGGGTGAAGCTCCAGAGGACTGGAGGGTGGCATCAGTGGTCCCAATTTAGTAGTAGAAAGGACATGGGGAATTATAGACCGGTTAGCCTTACGTCCATTGTAGGAAAAACTATGGAAAGGCTCATAATAGAGAGAGATCTAGTGATGCTAGATAGGGAAGGGAGGCTGACAGCCACACAACACGGCTTCTGCGAAAACAGGTCCTGCCAGACAAACCTTGTGGAATTCTATGACAAGGTTTCGAGATGGCTAGATGGAGGGGATGCAGTGGATGTGGTATACCTGGATTTCAGCAAGGCCTTTGACAAAGTGCCCCATGATACCCTGGTGGAGAAACTGGTGGTGACCGAAAGCAGAGGGTAACCATTAGCGGGGAATCATCGGGATGGCGTCCAGTGACAAGCAGGGTCCTCCCGGGCTCTGTCCTGGGGCCGATCCTGTTTAATCTTTTCATTAACGACATGGAAGAAGGGGTGAACAGTCTGCTGATCAAATTTGCAGACGACACTAAAACTGGAGCAGTGGCCACAACTGAGGAGCAGGTACTCCAGATCCAAAAGGATCTGGACAGACTATGGAAGTGGGCAGGAGACAACAGGGTGGCATTCAATGTGGATAAGACTTGGGGCATAGGAACAGCTGTCATAAGTACAGGTTAGGTGATAAGTGGCTGGAGAGGGACCTCGGGGTCCTGGTTGACTGCAGGCTAAACATGAGCCAGCAGTGTGATGCGGTGGCCAAGAGGGCGAACGCCACCTTTGGTTGCATAGCCAGAAGTGTGGCTTCCAGGTTGAGAGAGGTATTACTACCACTCTACACAACTCTGGTGTGCCCGCAACTGGAGTATTGTGTTCAGTTTTGGGCCCCTCATTACAGGAAGGATATAGCCAGGTTGGAGTCAGTGCAGCGAAGGGCCACTAGGTTGGTGGCTGGTTCGCAGGGGATGCCGTATGAGGCGAGACTGAGGGAACTGGGTCTCTTCAGCCTGGAGAAGAGGAGACTCAGAGGGGATATATTGGCGACATACAGGTATGTGAGGGGGTGTTACATGGAGATGGGTAGAGACCTGTTCTCCCCTGCAGAGGAAGGCAGGACGCGCTCCAACGGAGCAAAGCTCAGGGAACCCAGGTTCAATTTGGATGCCAGGAAGCACTTCCTGACAGTCAGGACCCCGAGGGCGTGGAATGGGCTTCCACGAGAGGTCATTGAGGCCCCACTGGTGCGGGTGTTCAAGAATAGGCTGGACGTCCACATGGTGGGCATGTCGTGAGCGGAGCCGGCTGGTGCCGGAGGTCAGACTAGATGGCCCGGGAGACCTCTTCTGACTCGCTGTTTTCTATGTTTCTATATACAAGGTACTTCTGAAGGTGGCTTTTGCTCCATGCAGGATGACTCGGGACAGAGACTTCTCTGTGCTGGCACCCCATTTGTGCCGTACCTTCCCTATATAGGGGGTGACTGGTGCCAGCCTTGCAATAAGTTTGGTGCCAGGTCAAATCATCTCTGTTTGCCTTGGCATTTAAACTCTCAGTTGGTGTTACAAGGTTTATTTTTTTACTGCCTCTTATCCTTTTATGCTTGCATTTTATTGCTTTAATTACACCTTGACTGTGCATGGCCAGGATATCTTTTCATGAAGGTGGGTTCATCAACATGTTATTTATTTTAATTTAATTTCTATATCATCCGTTAACCAGGATGGGCTGTCAGGGCAGTGTTATTAAGCATACCACGAGCGCAGTCAATGTTTTTCTGCTTTGCGGAACAGCTCTTAAGCGAAAGAGCAAGGTCCCTGCCCTCAAGGAGCTTGCACAGAGTGGAAACAACTCAGTTTGCTTAGTTTCAGCTACAGTGGGCAGCAAAGTGGACTGATGGAATAAGCCAAAAGCCACATGGAACAGGCGGGATTCAAGGAAGGGAGCGAAGGAGCACCAGGCAGGTATTCTGGGAATGGGCTCTGGACCAAAGGGATAGAGGGAGAGGCTGCGTGGAGTTCTTTTCGGCACAGTCCCTGTCTTTGGAGAGTGACAATCAGGTCTTCGATCTCCCAGCATTCCCCACCAGCAGGCTGGGAATGCTGGGAGTTGCAGGTCTTATCTCTCTCTAGGCACACGCAGGATTGCTCCTGAGAGCAACAGGCTCTCGGTTGGGAGAACGGGGTGTGCGGAAAGAGAGTGATGCCATTTGGCCGCAAAGCTGCTCTGGAGATAAAGCGTCACAGAGCCCCACCCACGATATTGTAAAAAGCAGGCTGAAGAACACCCTCGATGACTCATGCGATTCATAACGGAAAAAGAAGACCCAAATAGAATACTGGGACCAATATGAGACGGGGCACAACCCACCAGCAAGTCCTCCTTGGCAAGCCCACCCGGAGGGGTAGAACAGCTGAAAGCAGACTCGGATTAATTTTGTACATGGGCAGGAGAATTGGCTCTTGTGGTTTCCCACCAGCAGTTCAGCTGTTACTGGTCTAGAGCAAACCAAACCAAGAGGACCCTGTCAGGTGCAAACCCTTAAGGGAAAGGGGCTTCCTCTTGGTGTCACGCCACTCCTCAGCATTTCCCTGTCTTCCCTTTTCCTCTTCACCTGTGACGCTGCTTTCAACACAAAGGAAGAGCAGTAGATACAATTCATAACAATATCCAATGAGGAGCAGTAAATCTAGCTTATAGTATTTAAAAACCAAAGCAGAAACAGGTACAGATTCCCATGAACTGAGCAGATAAATACATAACAGAAACAGCTGAGCCCTACAGAGGAGGGAACAAGGTGTAACATGGAGTTCGAGGAATCACTCCTTGCAAAAAGCAACAAATCAATTATTGTTCTTGGAAACAGGTTGTGCTTCTTCCCACTTCTAGCAGCTTTCCTCACTCACTGCATTTGCTCATGTTTAATTTATTTGAGACGAAAGACTATCTTTCCTTCAGCATTTTGACAGTGCGGTATAGTGTTTAGAGTGCTTGCCTGGGACCCCTGAGATCCAGGCTAAAGCCGGCACTTGGCCGTGCAGCTCACTGAGCAATCTGGGGCCGGTCACAGACTAACCTCCCTAACTGGGTGAGGATTAAACAGAACTTGGGTCCCTCGCCAGAGGAACAAGGCAGAATGTGGATTTCATGTAAAAATGATGTAATAATGAGAGGTAGTGCAGCGTAGTGGTGGCAGTGTTGGGCTGCAGCCAGGGAGCGATGGGTGACTGAGCCAGTCACAGATGCTCAGCCGCAGTGTGCTCATCCACAGATCTGCATAAATAGATTTTATGCAAATCATCGATGGTGCAGCAGGACCCCCATATCCACGGGGTGGGCTCCAAGCCCTCCAGCAGATGCCTGAAGCCGCAGAGAGTAAGGAACGCCCAGCCCGAGGCTCAGCAATGTCACAGCGACACTAAATCGGCTCGGATCAGTTCCGAGGCATTTACAGAGCTGGTAGCCCAGAGGGCCCTGAATGAGGGGGGGAAACGCAGGAGCCATCTTTGCCCTGTCTGCTCCCCTCCCTTGGCCCTGGCTCGCTTCTGCATTTCTGTCCTTCATTCCCTCCTCCAAGAATGCGGGGTGTCCCACAGCTTCCATATGATCCACCCCACAACCCTCCGCGGTCGGTTCAGACGAGGCATCCGGTCATCCTGGTTCTCTCGGATCTCTCTCGATCACACAGACTTTTCCCGTGTGCCCCCTCCCAGGGCCCCACACCTTGGCAGGGCATGGTGCTGGGCTCGCCCCCCAGGCTGCCCAGAGCGGCTGGCCGCCCACCCTGGCTCTGCCTCCGGCACAGGAGTGCCCCGCTGCTAGGCCCTGCCCAGGGAGCAGCTCCGCTCCATCCTTGCACAGGAAGTGCTTAGCATGACTACATACGCTTGGTGAGATGCAAACTAGTCATTTCTTTCCCCCGTTCCCTCTCACCATCACTCTGACACCGGAAGTGTTGGTGCGCGTCAGCGGAGCCCGTCCCCTCCGCAGACAGCTGTGCATGCATCTGGTGGCACCTGCACGCAGACGAGAAGGGCTTTGCCGCCTGGCTCGGAAGTGCTGTGTGCAGGTGGCGACTGAGAGTGCCGATGTGCCTCGGGACCCTGGACCGGGCAGCCTGACTGGGTGGGGCCGGACTCTCCCCAGAGCGAAAGGGACTAGTTTCGCCTCTGCTTCTCCTGTGGTAGGTTTGCCTTCTCTTTTCCCTTGCTCCCCTGCGCGGGTTCCCCCAAGGTGCTTGCAGCCTGGCAGGAGAGGGTGAGGAGAGGTCCCAGGAGCAAGGGCCACACCGCTTCAGCTTCTGAGAAGCAATTCCACGCCCGTTGTTGGCTTAGAGGCGGCCCTTAGGGTTCCGGGCAGCACGATCTGAAGAAAGCAACTGATTTGCCTTTGGCGGCCCAAGTGAATGTTGGAATTGGTAACCGGAGCCTCCCTGTGCAAGAGCAGTATACACCGAATGTTCGAGGCTGGGGAGAGCCTCGGCAGAGGGCTGTTGCCTTCATGCCTCCCTGGAAGGCCCTCTTTGCCCCTCCTGGAGACTCAAGACTTGCTCTGATGGCCTCCCTTGCTCTGGCCAGCAGGGCTCCTCTTGTGTCGGACCACTGATTTCTAGCCTCTCCCAGGATCACCTGGGGCCAGGCCTGCTCTTCCCCTCCGAACGTGCAAAATGGGTGAGTTATGAGTGACCGCTGAGCGTTTTCCTTCCTCTGCTCGCCTACCTTTTGTTTTCTCGCCAGGTCTCTCTGCTCCGCTGAGAATGCAAAAACTTGCATGCTACCTTGCGATATTTTGGCAGGCCTAGTAAAGATGTTGTCCTAATACGGATTTTGCACGCCTCTTAACAATGCTTTCTTTGAATTACCTCTGGCTTTCTCTCTCATTCTTCTGCCTCTCTCAGAAACTCATCCCCCAATGCTAATGATTAATGCCAAATTCTTTTCCTCTCCTCCCTGTTACCGAACTCAGCCGGTCACCAACTGGGACAACCCGGGAGGACCCCAGCCCCCAACCCAAACAGAGCCCGACCAGGCTTTGAGCTAAAAGCAGTTTCATTCTAGTGCACTTTTAGAATAAACGGAGACAGAGGGGAGATGCTTCCCAGATCAGAGTCTCGAAAGAGGTACAGAGAACATACATTATATACCCAGCCTCACCAACATGATGTCTGGATACAAAGATAATCCATTCACCTATTAGTCCTTGTTCTGTTTGTTAGTTTACAGAAAAACTCTTTATTCTTCCAATAAAGAGAATATTGGAAGTCCCCTGGCAGTCTCCTTCTCATATGCCTGCTAATTATCTCCAAACTATTCACACCCATGTGATGTTTCTCACCTCCTAGTAATTTATAATGTATTTTGCTACTTTTATTGAGACTCCGACCGTTTTCCCGCTTGCCCTCTTTGACATCCAGTTGGCCTGTCCCAGGAGTTCGCTGGGCTCACGGCTCTCTGTCCCCCCCCCCCCACTCCTGGATTGGAAATACAATGGTACCTTGGCTCCTGAACTTAATCCGTTCCAGGACTCTGGTCGCGACCAAAATTGGTCTCGAGCCAAGTCAAATTTCCCCATAAGGGTCAATGTAAATAAGGTTAATCCATTCTGTAAATATTTTTTAAATCACAAAAATGTGAAGCAAAGTGACAAAGAACAAGAAAGTACAGTACAGTAGAGAACACTAACCTGGGTGGGGGGAGGTTAATGTTTGGAGGGAGGGTCCGAACGATAATCGTGCGATAGCGATCGTGCTTGGGGGGGGGGGGGGGGGGGGCGGGGCTGGGTCGGGGTTGGGGGGGGGGAGCGTCGTGGGGGGACGGGGGGGGGGGGGGGGGGGGGGGGGGGGGGGTGCTCTGACCTGGGTCTGTGTGGACTTGGGCATCCCGGGAAAAATACCTGTGGAGGCAGGCATGGGATGGGGCTTGGAATTTTCCTTCCTTGCTGGCCCTGGGAAGCCTTTGATCAGTTGTCTTCCCTGCAAGAAGGTGAGAAAGGGGCTGGCTTTGCCTGAGGCCAGGGGCAGGAGTGGGGGCCTGGAGACATCAACCGAGCCCCACAGAAGAGAGGAATCTTGAGAGGAGCCAGGGCGAGGGGAGTGTGGGGGATGCGCAGAGCTCAGCCGTTACTGCCAAGCCGGCAGGATGTGTCCTTCCAGCATGGCAGACCTTGTAAGATAACGCGGAAGTGCCTGTGGCTGTAAAGTGCAAAAGACAACGAGTCCCAAGCACTGCCTTTGGTGGGGTGGAATTCGGGCCGCCAAGGGCATAAAAAGAGAATACGGCGGACCCTGGAGGGTGTACGTACGCCGTGTCTCCGGCCTTTCTCCTCGGCTGGCCAGCGTGGGTTGCGTGGCTGTCAGGACAAGTGAGCAACTAAGCATGGAAGCCTCTGAAGGAAGTCTGACGGAGAGCCCATAGGATGCTCTTCCAGCAATTTCTCCATAAGCTCCTGGGAATTTTAGTCTGACCCCTGCATGGATCGGTAAATCCTGTCACCGTGGGATCGAGCGGAACAAGCCCTGAGCCAGGACGGGGTGCACACACCTCTCCTCCTTGGTGGCGGGGTGGGAGGGGGACCCGGTGGACAGTCAAATGGGCCCGTGCTCACCTGTGGGTGACCCCTGGCGCAAGCAAAGGCTCAGGGAGGCTTACAATAAGAGTTGCCCAGCCCTGGGTCCAAGAAGAAACGAGCCCAAGGCCTCCTTCGGGCAGGCAGCATCCATGAAATTGGCACTGCCGCTGCAAGGCCAGAGTCAGACTAGTCCCTTCCCTTGACTGAGACAACAGAGAAAACACTGTTTCTCTGTAGTACAGGATGATGTTATCGTGGCAGCAAATGCTGCCTTGTTAGGGAAGCAACAAGCCAAGATTCCTGGTGTGCACTTCCTGTTGAAGGAGCCCGTGCTAGAAGTTTTCTGGTTTGTCTCGCTGTGCCAACTGGCAGCATGCTGCTTGTGGACAACCACCAGGGGTCCCTGGAGTCCTGGCTTATCGCATGGCAGCCAGTTGTGCTTCCTTCCGTCCGTCCGTCCTTCCCCCTCCCTTCCTCTTCTGATCCATTTGTCTCCCTGCAGGACCAGCGTTGGCTGGAGTGTGGCGCCTTGGCCAAGCCATGAGGCAGCTGGGCATCCCGCTGGGAGACATACACGACTTCTCTACGCAAGAAGTCCAGCAGCTGCTCCACAACAAATTTGTGGTGATCATGGGTGACTCCAGTGAGTATTTCACTGAGTGGCTTTCGATGCGGGAAGGGAGCGCCTCCTCCAAGAGAGCGATTCCTTGGGCTTCCGCCTCGCAATGATTCCTTCCCCGAAAAGCTAGGTGCTGATGATCGCAGAGAGTAAAACAGACAAAACCGAAACCGAGCTGCCCGTTTCCTGGCCTTCTTTCTGATCAGCTGAGCAGTTCTACTTCTCTCGTCAAGGGTCAGCTACTCCTTTGAAGTTGCCCTTCTTGCGGAAATGGAAACTTGAGCTGCTGAAAGGAACAGAGTTTTCTGCAGACGTTGTGTAGCAAGCATACTCTGCGCCTGCTTTGCCGTGACCTTGACGCGCTCTTTCATCTGGTTGCTAAAGCACAATGTTTTCGTTTTTGTTGGGGTTCTGCCAGCCACAGCAGTCAAGTCGTGCATAATTGTGGTGGGGTGAGGTTCTGGTCTCCGTTCGGCATGCCCCCCCCCCCGCCCCTGCACTGATGGGCGATCTCAGTGGGTTGCTTGGATTGGCACCGCGGCAACTTCCTCTGGGCTGAGGGACTGCCGTGGGTCGCGCAGGCAGAGGGGAGGCACCCTCTGGAGGGCTCTTTCCACCTGGGTCCTGATTTTGGGGTCACCCACTTCCTGTTGTTGTCATTCTGAAGATTTCTTCGCTACCAAAGGGCAGGGCGTGAGAAAACAGGGATTCGGCGGAAGATGCAGAAGTCTGTCTTGGTTAGCTGGGGAATCCTGGGCGCCCTGGGGGTCCCCTCTGTCCAGCCCCACATCCCTGGTCTGCTAATTGGCTTTCTTAATGTTGCATGTGGAGGGGGAAGCAATGGCTGAGAAGGGAAGACACACCATCAGCTAAGCACTCCGGAGCATTCTGCCTGCAGCACAGTCCCGGAAATACAAGTTGCACGGGTTTTCTGCCGGCACATCTCTGGAGTGTCCAAACATAGAAAAATAGAGGGTCAGAAGGGGCCTTCGGGGCCATCTAGTCTGACCCCCACCTCCAGCCAGCTCTGCTCATGACATGCCTACCACGTGCATGTCCAGCGTGTCCTTGAACACCCTCACCAATGGGGCCTCAATGACCTCCCGTGGAAGCCCATTCCACACCCTCAGGGTCCTGACTGTCAGGAAGTGCTTCCTGGCATCCAAATCGAGCCTTGGCTCCCTGTGCTTTGCTCCGTTGGAGTGCATCCTGCCTTCCTCTGCAGGGGAGAACAGGTCTCTCCCCATCTCCATGTGACATCCCCTCACATACCTGCATGTCGCCAACAGATCCCCTCTGAGCCTCCTCTTCTCCAGGCTGAAGAGAGCCAGTTCCCTCAGCCTCTCCTCATCCGGCTTCCCCTGCAAACCAGCCACCAACCTTGTGGCCCTTCGCTGCACCGATTCCAACCTGGCTACGTCCCTCCTGTAATGAGGGGCCCAGAACTGAGCACAACACTCCAGCTGCGGGCACAAGTCGTACAGAGTGGCAGTAACACCTCTCACGATCTAGAAGCCGCACTTCTGGCTATGCACGCATCTGGCGATGCCCCCAAAGCAGTCTGGGGGCAGAGGGGATGGCATGTGTGCCAGGTGCAAGCTTGGTCCATGGCTTTCCTAAGGGCTTCTTTGCTCGTCGAGATGGGAGAACCTCTGCATGAGACCACAGTGCACAGGTGGGGCACCCCCCCCCCCAGGTGTTGTGAGAAACCATCTTGCACCCCAGGGCTGATAAACCTTGCAGTCTAACAACACCTGGGGGGGGCACAAGCCATCCTATCCCCCCGCCTGGGTTTAAGACTCCCCTGTTGGTTAGGCTTAACAATGCTATGGGAGGTGGACCTTTTCTAAATTCTGCTCTCTTTTAAGGCTGCAGTTTTATACACCTTTAAGCTCAGAGTAAAACCACCGCACTCAGCAGGGCAGTAGGAGGGGCTGCATCTACCCTGATTATCCTTGGCAACTTGGGAGATAAAACCGCTGGAACGGCCATATTCTTCTGCCTGCTAGGCCAGGGGTGGGAGGGCAAGCGAGGAAGGAGGGATGGGGAACCCAGTGCTGACGAAAACGCTTCATCAGACCATACCTGGTGCGTGCACTGGCGCTGGCCAGGTTGCAGGGAGGCGCCTCACGCTGCTCTTGCAGGAACAGGAGACGGGCGCTCACGGTTGCCACACGGAGCATGCACGCAGAGGGGTGGAAGCTGCGGAACTGGCAGGAGGACAAGGATCGTCTTCTGGAAGGGAAACATGCTTATGGCGTGCCTTCTCGCCCACATTCCTGCTGTGGAAATGATCTTATTTCCCTGTTACAGAGAAATATTTTTCTAACTCCTTCCGCAGAACTCTTCACCCTGCTCTTTTCACGGAGGCCTAACTTCATTCTAGATCTGAGCATGGCTTTTAATGTCAATGGAAATAGACGAGTTTAAGCTTAGGTCAGAGCCATTTCCTTCCACCTCTGGCCCTGCCACTGCCCTCATGGGGCTGCAGACTGGTGGCCTTGGGGGGCATCCCCCTTTCTCCCTGTACATGACAAACCTCCGTGCTTGTGGTGCTGTGGCTGTTGCTCCGGCCAGCATTCCGGCTGATCGCCGAGATCGTTTATGGGTGCAGAGGGAACAGGCGCAGGGAAAGGTGACCACCAGCCTGTGGTATGTGGGACACCTCCCTCGAGCGGACTGAAGGGCCCCTGCGTATAAACACTAGCCTGACCTCAGCAGCACGACGCGGCGGGGATGCTGTGGTGTGGCGACGTGGCAGCAACATCTCACCGTTTCCAATTGTGGGTGCAGCCCTCTGCATGTTTAAAAAAGGGGTCCTGGAACGCCGAGCACTGCTCTGCCAGCATGGGGCTGAGGACAAGAGGTCCCGGCCGGCTGGAAGCTTCGGAGGCCACGGATGGGCGGGAGCTTCCCCATCCTTGCCATAGATCTTCAGGCCCCGGTCCGGTTCTCTGGAGGTGGTTCTGGCCCCCTCCGACGCTCGGGCGGGCGTGTTGAAGGGGGGCCGCTGCCGCCGTGGGCCTCGGCCCCGCGGCCAGAGCTCTTGCGGGCTGCCGCCGCCCCTTCAGCACTGATGGCTCTTTCCCCCCCTTGCAGATTCCCGATCCATCTATAAGGACCTCATCTACTTCCTGCAGACGGATGAGAAACTGACCCTTTCCCAGCTGAAGGGCAAGGTGCTGCTTCCTTGGGATCTGGAGGAGCCGGGCCCCGATTCTGGCACGCAGGTTGCGGCTGGGTCTGGCCTGCCTCGTAAAGCAGGCCCGGTCCTGGATCGTGCGTTCACTTGGCCGCACGTGCAGGGATCCCAGCTCCCCCGTGCCAGATCGGCCCAGGCGCTTCGTGCGCTCCCCGTGGCCCTTGTGCCCGTTGGAGAAAGCTCTTCTCCCTGGTGGTAGCCAGAATCTGTTCTGGTTCCCCTTCCCCTCCCGTTCTGCCAGTCCTCTTGCACTTTGCCAGGTGTTGTGCACCTGGATGGTGTTACACAATTACTTGAAAGCAGCCGCCCAGCGGGACTCCCGGGCGCTCCCTGGCGTGTGCCGACGGCCACTCAACGGGGGGACTTTTTAATACGATGGGACACACGAGGGGTGGCTCCTGGCCACGGTAGGGCCGGGGAGGGCTGCGGCTCCCGGCAGAGCACATGGTCTGCCAGCAGAAGACCCAGGCCACGCCACAGGGTCTCTCGGCAGGGCTTGGAAGACCCCACACACCTTGGGCAGTGGCTGCGGCTGCTGCTCGCCGTGAGCAGTGCTGCATTGGCTGCTCCAAAAAGCCTGAGCGGAAGTGACCCCCCCCCCCCCCCCGGTGAAGGCAGGGGTCTGGCCTGGCAGGCTGCCCTTCAAGAGCAGATGCGGCCTGGAAGAGTCCCCAGAGCCAGGCGTTGCTTGTCAGCTTCCGACCCAGTCTGGCTGCCCTTGCTTGGAAGCTGAATGCTGGGGCAGCGATTCGGCTCCAGCACGCTGCTTGTGGGTTCATCGGCTCAGCACTGGGCTGTGCAGCGAGCGTGAACGGCCCTGTCCTGCAGCAGGCTGCCACTGGGGGAGGGGGTGGGCGCTAAGGGGCCCTCTTGCCCTTCCAGCTCCGCGGTTCCCTCTTGCGGTGCTCAGCGCTTTCCCTGGCATAAATGCTCTCCGCCCCGCAGCCGCATGTTGACTCTCCCACATTTTGTTGCGTTACCGCCTGGAAGTGAAACGGAGTGAATTGGCACGCTTGCCCCTGATGTGCGCAAGATGCTCGACTCGGGGAAGGAGCAGAGCCCTTTTACTGTGGCACAAAAACACAGAAAAACAATCTAGCACTTGTGGCTCGCAGAGGTTTTCACCCCTTGGCTGTGACACGCCTACCCAAGCTCTGGCACAACCCTCGGCCTTGCGGGGCCTGCGGGTGGCTGAATGGGGCCCCCCTGCGCGCAGCCCGGGGCCACTGACCTCTGCTTCTGGAAGGCCCCCGAGTCCGCGGAGAGCGTCTCTGAACCCGGATCCCCAGGAGAACCGAGGAGCAGAAGCACCAGGCTGGGCTGGATCACGAACAGAGGCCCCAAACTGGAACACCCTGGACCCCCAGAGCACTGCCAGAGCCGTCATTCCAACACGGGAGGACGCTGGCTGAGCTGCAACCCGGCCTGGAGGAGCCCTCCCCCGGGACGCAGCGACGGCAAGGCAGGCGGTCGCCAGGGAGCGGCCGGGGGCCAACGGGAGCACGAGGGAGCCACACGATGTGCTGCTGAGACGGGGGCCCCTCTGGACCACGATCGCCGGAGGCGCCACACAGCCGGCCTTGGCGGAAGGCTGGCGGGGGAAAGCTGCTGCTGACGCGGACCCTCGAGGCCTGTGCAGAGGACGCCAAGGGGCGAAAGAGCGCCACCCGGGCCTTGCTGCAGAGCACCGTGTGGTGCGGAGCCCACGGTGCTGGTTGCCCTGAGAACACCGTCCCCACAGTGGCGCATGGAGGTAGCAGCTTCACATGGGGGGGATGCTGGGTCAGGACCGAGGGCTGGCTGGATGGGCCGTGCAGTCCTAGGGAACTCTGCTTCAGTCTGCAGGGACCAGGGCCCGGGGCGGGGGCTCAGCTCCCAGCAGGACATGGACCCTAAACGCACGGCCAAAGCTTCAAGGCAGGTACAGGAATGAGCACAGGAACAAAGTCCTGCTGGATTTGGCCCCGGATCCACCCAGCCCAGCTCTCCATATGCATGGCAGCCAAGCAGCTGCCCACAGGGTCCCTCCGGCAGGACGGGTGCAAGGCCTCCTCCTGCCCAGCTCCTTGGCAGCGGGTGCAAATGACTCAGAAGGGCCCAGCCCAGCGCTTGTCCAAACCGAGGATCGGGGGCAAGCCTTGCAACTTCCTGTCTGCCAACAGCCCGCATCCATCCAGCCAGAGCTGGGGCAGTCTTGCTGGGAAGAAGGGGCCAACCCTGCAGCAGGATCCGGGTGCAAGAGGCTGCCACTCGCCATGAAGACGGCCTTCACTGGTGCCAGGTGTGCGTCTCCCAAGAAGTGACGCCAGGGAGGGAAGAGTGAGGCAGCCCAGCCCACGAGTGCCAGTTTGCTTTTCTGCCCGAAGGATTTGTGCCACAATAAAGACATCTCTGCGTCTTTGCAGGCGTGCCTCTTGCTCCCACAGAGCAACAGCACCGCTCGTTCCGTCCGTTCCAGTCCCGGGTTGTACCACAACGAAACGAGGACCGGTGAAAGGGGGGAAATGCGTCCGCCGGGCCCTGCACGTGGCCCGGGAGAGGCTCCCCGCCGACGCCGATTTCTGCTTGCAGGGCGAGGAGTCGTTTGCCAACGACTGCCGCGTGGAGTTCAGGGGGCTGAAAAACGGCCCCAGCTACCGCGAGGCCCGCCAGTACCGCACCAGCCACCACCTCGTGCGCTTCTACTTCATCACCCGCGTCTACTCGGCCTATGTGGAGAGCATCCTGAGCGACTTCAAGAAGGGGCTGGAGAGCGGGCTGGCCCCCGACGTCATCGTCATGAGTTCCTGCCTCTGGGACCTCAACGTGTAATGCAGCCGTTGCTTGTCCACGGCACACAGCCCCCCCCCCCAATCCCGTGGCAGCTTGGGCTGGGGCTGCCGCTTGGGCCCAGGGGCTGCCTCTGCTCTTCCCACAAATTCCGGCTAGCCAAGGCGCGCTCCATGCTAAGCCTGGCGCCTTGGATGTGTCTGCCGGCTTTCCATAGTGTCTCACCATGTCTTGGGCCACGGTCCCCTTTCCTGCCATTCTGGCCGGTGCTTTTGGTAAGGTCGCAAAGATCTCTTTCTGGAGAAGCTCAGCCCTTCGGTTCCTGCCCTTGTCCAGTCCTTTGCTGGGCAGTGTGTGCCTCCTGCCTGGAAACCCGGAGCAGGGAATTCTGGCCTGCTCCATGCCTGAGCTTTGGCTGCTTTGGCTGCACCCTGAGGGTCTGCACCTGAGGTGACAAGCAGCGCCTGGTCCCGCCTTTCCTACAGATGAGAAATGCTGAGGAGTGCCGGGGGGGGGGGGGGGCTGTTCTGAAGGGCTTTCCTTCCAGAATGCTGGATGCGCATCGCATTTGGGAGAGGTTTTGCTTCCTCCCCAGTCCCCCTGGAAACAAGGTGGCTCTCTGCTCCTTCTCCTTTGGGAGAGGTCTCAGCCAGGCGGGCAGGTGTAGGAGGGGGCCCTGCACCCGTGGAATGGAAGGAGGCGGCCCTGCGGGTTCTCCCAGTGGCTTGGCCTTCACCTTCCGCCGGCCCTCGCCAGCCGAGCTGTGCGGGAGGACGATGGGGTTGCGGGGCAAACTCTCCTCTGTCTTGAAGCTGACTCCGTCAGGTGAGGAACCCCTGAGAACCGGTCTGGCTGGTGGTGAGGGAGCGGGGTTGGGACCCAGGAGATCCGGGTTCGAGGCTCCACTCAGCCCAGCCTTTCTCCCAGGGTTGTTGTTGTGCGGATGAAACTGAGCAGAGAACCACCCTCGTTGCCCCGAGTGCCTCGAAACAAGCAAGGAGGGACATAAATGCAATGGACAGACAGAGCAAAGGGAGCACTTTCGTGGCCTTCTCCCTTCCACGCAGGTACCAGGATAAGTACCCCAAGGAGCCTCCGATCCCGAAGGCCCTCAGAGAATATCGGGAGAACCTGGAGAAGCTCTTTGCAAGGCTGGATGAGCTCCTGCCCTCGAGCTGCCTCATCATCTGGGCCACGGCCATGCCCATAAGAGAGACCACCTCCGGAAGCTGCTTCAGGGTAGGAGGACTGGGCCGGGTGCCGCCACCGAGGGGCCGCCAGTGCCCTCTGTTCGACGGCTTGCTCCTCTGCGCACGGCACTTCCCCACACACGAAAAAGCAGCTTCTCAGGGAGTGCTACTTTCCTCTGTACGGAGAAGTACTTCCTAGGGAGGAGCCTGGTCTCGCCCACATCCTGATGTGGGACAGCCCAGACATGGCCTGCATTCCCGCTCCGTGGATCCCCTTCTGAGCTAAAGGAGATCATGACAGTGTTTTTTATCTTTGGGTCGAAGCGATCTCCCCTCCCCTCCTGTAGCCCTAGAACAGCTGGCCTAGTGGGAAGAAGCTGCATCTCCCAACTTCTCATTGGCACATCGAAAGCACATGAGTCACCCAGAGATGACTTAGCTTGCAGAGGAGCTCATGTTTCACCCACATGCAGAATGGCACGCTTTCATTTTAAAAACAAACAAGTTTCCGGCCCATGTGATTGCGGAGAATTGCTGGAAAACTTGGGCTTCGCTTTGGCGAAGGCTCAGGAAATGGCCATTCCCGGTATGTGTCCCCTCAGTGCTTCCCTCCCGTCCTGTGAAAAGGTCGAAAAGGGAGGAGGCATGGCTGTCTGAGCAGGTGGGCCCGCAAGGAGGGTGTCTCTGGATTTCGAGCCGACCGGGCTCAGCCACGTGGCCTTGGGCAGCCGCGAGATCTCTCAGCCGCAGCTGCTTCACAGGACTCGGGAGACAAACCACCTGGCGCTCAGTGGGGAAATGGGGCCCCGCGAGCGATGAGGAGACGTCCCCGAGGGGATCCAACGGAAGCAGAAGCCGGGCTCTGTTGGGGTCGGGGAGACGCCAAGCAGGCCTCCCCCCCCCCGGCAGCCACACGGGTCTCCCCGCAAAACGGGGAACCGCACCAGCCTGCCCCCCACTCCCCAGAGCCCCCGCAGGCTGGACGGTCCTGCATTCGGGGGGGGGGGGCGGTTTGCCTTCCCGTCCTCCTTCCTCATCAGACCGAGCTGCAGCTGCTCCATTTAGCGCAGCAAATGTTTGGGGCCCTGAGCGCATTCGCCCAGGGCGGTCGCGATCCGTGCCCCGCAGGAGGCCAGAGAGAAAAGAGCCGCGAGGTTGGTCGAGGAACGCGAGGCCACGTTGATCCTGGGGGAAGGCTACGAGCAGCCGAGGAAACGCCAGTGGCGGCTCTGCGGGCCGGTGGAGCGGCACCGTATCTCCGTGAGGCAAACGTGGAAGGCAACCTGTCCCTTGGCTGCATCTTTGTTAGCTGGCCTGGGCTGGGCTGGGCAGGAGTGGCTGTTCTCATGCCCTCAGCGCCCCCCACACTGCCTCCCCACCCCCAGGAGGCATGATCCCGGCCTGCTCCCGTGGCATCTCCTCCTAATCCTGGCTTCCGTCCCTTGGGAAAACTGCATCCCGTGAGCACTGCTCCCTGGACCTGGCAAGGCGCTCTGCAGGGGGGGCAGGAGGCAGTGTTCCCCTCCCCTCCATGTGCCATGTGTTCTCTGATGGGGGTGTGCACTTGAAGACACGTGCAAAGGGTGGGCGGTGGCTCGGAAGACATAGAAATATTGCGAGTCAGAAGCAATCTAGTCTGCCTTCCTCTGCAGGGGAGAACAGGTCTCTCCCCACCTCTGTGTGACACCCCCTCATGTACCTGTATGTCGCCAACAGATCCCCTCTGAGTCTCCTCTTCTCCAGGCTGAAGAGACCCAGTTCCCTCAGTCTCGCCTCATACGGCACCCCCTGCAAACCGGCCACCAACCTTGTGGCCCTACGCTGCACTGACTCCAACCTGGCCATATCCTTCCTGTAGCGAAGGGCCCAAAATTGAGCACAATACTCCAACTGCGGGGGCACCAGAGTCATGTAGAGTGGCAGTAACACCTCTCTCAACCTAGAAGCCACACTTCTGGCTATGCAACCAAGGGTGGCGTTCGCCCTCTTGGCCTCCGCATCACATGGCTGGCTCATGTTCAGCCCGCAGTCGACCAGCACCCCGAGGTCCCTTTCACAAGTGCTGCTCTCCAGCCACTGGTCCCTTAACCTGCACTTATGACACCTATTCCTATGCCCCGAGTGCAAGACCTGGCACTTATCCACATTGAACGCCATCCTGCTGTCTCCTGCCCACTTCCATAGTCTGTCCAGATCCTTTTGGATCCGGAGTACCTGCTCCTCAGTTGTGGCCAGTGCCCCAGTTTTAGTGTCGTCTGAGAATTTGATCAGCAGACTGTTCACCCCTTCTTCCATGTCGTTAATGAAAGATTAAACAGGATCGGCCCCAGGACAGAGGCCTGGGGGACCCGCTCGTCACTGGCCGCCATCCCGATGATTCCCCGCTAAGTTACCCTCTGCTTTCGGTCTGTCATATGTGCCCTTCCTCGTTGTGCTGCCGATTGTGGTCACGTGGGGAATGCAGCTGCTGGGAGAAGGACACGTGCCTTTCCAGAGTTCGCAGAGCTGAACCCTGCAGGGCAAGGGGCCACATCCCCTCCCCGGGGCCACCCTGCCGCCCCCTCCTGCATGCTCAAGCAGAGTCGCCCCACGTCCCCGCGAGCACAGGGGCTTGGCTGGCTTCCCCCGTCCCCCTTGCAGCACCGCTCGTGGGGGGCAGAAGCGCGTCCAGCGGACGGAGGGGTTCCACGAGGAGCCGCCATGCCGTCTGCTGTCTCAGGTCCTCTGCAGGGCCACCTCTGAGCACAGGAGGCCCCTGGATGCTGGCCCTCAGCCGCTACCGTGCAAGGCGTGTGCGGCCGGCGCTGGGTTGGGAGGGCCTGTACCACTCTGGGGTGGGGCTGTGCCCTGGGATGCCCTGAGCGATGCCCGGCTGCTGGCCTCAGCCCCGTCCTGCCTCTTTCCTTCCCTGTCGCGAGCAGAGTCAGTACAAGTCGACGTCCCAGGACGTGATCGAGGCCAACTTCTACAGCGCCACCCTGGCCTGTTGCTTCGGGTTCGATGTCCTGGACCTGCATTACTGCCTGCGCCTCCTGGAGGAGCTCCATGCCAGGGATGGGGTGCACTGGAACTACTGGGCGCACCGGTGCATCTCCAAACTGCTGCTGACCCACGTGGCAGGCGCCTGGGGAGTCGAGCTCCCCAAGAGGACGCCCCAAGCGGGTGAGCGCGGATGGCGAGGACGGACCTTCTGGCCGCCGCGGGCGGGGCGTGTGCACGGCACGCTCCCGGGCCTGGTATATTTGTCTGTCCTTGGCATGCAGGCCTGTGTGTTTCCTTAACCCTAAATGGGCCTTAAAGGGTAAAGGTAAAGGGTTCCCCTTGACGTAACTTCCAGTCATGGACGACCCTCGGGGCGGTGCTCCTCTCCGTTTCCTGGCCGAGGGAGCCAGCGCCTGTCTGCAGACAGTTTCCCTGGTCGTGTGGCCGGCACGACTAAACACCGAGGTGCACGAAGTGGTGCCTATTTATCTTCTTGCATCTGTGCGCTTTCGAGCTGCAAGGCTGGCAGTTGCTGGGACGAAGCATGGGCGCTCGCCCCGTCTGCGGATTCGAACCAGCGACCTTTCGATCAACTGGCCCAGCGGCTCAGCCGTTTAACCCACTGTGCCACCGCATCCCTACGGCTCTTACTCCCCTGTAAAATCACAGTTTGAGTTCGAGGCAGCCTTCTACAACCTGCTGCCTTCCAAATATTTCAGGCGTTGACTCCCAGCATTCCTGCCCACTGTGGCAGATGGGAGCTGACGTCTCAAACGTTTGCAGGGTGCCAGGAATCCTCAGCGATTTGGCTTTTCTTTAAATTTGTTCCACGTGGCTTTATATCTTTGCCCTCATCCTGCAAACAATCAGGTCAGTCAGCAACCGGAAGAAGTGCTTGAATTGTCTATCAGAGCAAGGTGCCAGCTGCAGGCCACAAAACTGAGCCCCTCGATTCTCTGAGCTCAGTACTTCAGCTCATCTGTTGCTACCAACATCTTGCTCAAGTTTCTAGAAGAAAGATGCTTTTAGCAACAGCTTTGCAAGTAGAGGGAATTCCGCAACTGAGCACTCAATCGTGCGTGTTTAGACAGGGAAAAGGCCTCCGGTCCCAGCCGGCCTCTGTCTGAACGCACGCAGGATTGTGCCCTCAGTCCTGAGGTGAGGGCACCTCTGGGGCCAGGACCTGGGAACTGACCTTCCAATTTTTGTGCGGTCTCTGTGCATGGACTGGTGTTCCCCATCTGGCGGTTCATTACTGCAGAGGACCGTGTGAGTAAAAGCGGCTTGTTTCTGCGTGCAACAGAGGGCCATGAAGAAAAGGCTGCCTCGTCCCCCCAGGGTCAGCAAGGTGTGCGTGCACAGCCCTACCCGGAAGAGTCCTTGTTTGGGCATCTGGGGGCGGCTGCTCCGAACAAGGGAGGGCAGAAGAGAGACGGCTGCCCCCAGCTGGGATGCCAGCCCCTTTCCTAGATCCTGTAGTTGCTGGGCTTGTTGCCTAAGGGAGCCTTCCAGGTTGAAGGCATGGGCAGGACCGCAGGGGCCTGAGGGGTCCCTGGAGTAGCCGTGGCAAGCCTGACGCTAGCCCGCTTTTGCTCTGGAATAGCCTCTCTTTTCTCCGGCCTCTGCAGGAATAGATTGGAGTGGAAGTGCAGAAAGCCACGACTTCTGTTCGGAGAGCGCGCTGCCACAGGTGCCCCTGGGCCAGCTCCACTGCAGCGGCCCCCTGCCCGCCCAGCCAGGCAATGGCTACTTCGGCGACCCCCTGGACGACTCGAAGGCCTGTTGGGAGACCCCAGCTGATTTCCCACACAATGCGAGCTACAGGAGCAGCCCCATGGACAGATCCAGTTATGAATGGTGCCCTCTGCCCCTGGCTGGCCTGCTCCTTCCGAGCAACAGCGCTGCTTTCTCGGACAATGCCCACTTGGTCCGTCAGCCTGAAGGCTGCTGGGGCCCCCCGGCCTACCCCGGGCAGCCAGCCAGTTTCCATTTTGATGCTGACTTGGGGGCTGGCCCCGTGGATGGAGGGGACGGTGAGTCCCTGACCCTGCCTCGCCCCGCCCATGTCCAGCCTGGCTACGCCTCGTATTTCCCGGACGATCGCAACTTTGCCAACGAACCCACGGGTGGATCCGAAAACCACCACAGGCCCCTGCTGTACGCTGGCCTCCCGAACCCCGGCCCTGGCCTTTACCTCCCCTTCGATGCCGCCGCCGCCACCGCCACCAGGCCCGAGGGTGGGGGGGGACACGGGCAGCGGCCCTGGCCCAGCCCCGGCTGGCTTCCTCCCCTCGGGGCTCCACACAGCCACACTCATGCGGACGGCAGCCGGGGGCCCTGGAGCAGCTTCGGAGAGGAGCAGGGACCTCTGCCCCCTGGTGCAGGTAGGTGGCCGCTCCCCCCCCCAGCTGCCGTGGGCTTCCGCGGGCTATCGTTCGTGGCGTGGGGGCAAGCCAGCCGCAAGGAAGGCGGAGAGGCAGCGCGGGGGGGGCGAGCGGGGGGGGCGAGCAGGGGGACCTGTCCAGGGTGGGGGGCGGAGCCACAGACAATGCACTTCTGGCTTTGGGGGGCATGTGCCTTGTCCACAGTGTGGCGGAGCAGCCGGGTTTGGGCTCCTGGGAGCGCTTTGCTCTCGGCCCCCCACGGCGACTGAGCTGCAGGGCCGGCGTCTCTCCCCCCAGCAGCCTGCTCTTCACTGGGGGCCCCGACCGACGGGCGGGCGGGCAGGCATGGAGCCAGCCGCCCGGCACCACGTGAGCCGCTCCGGGAGCATTTCCCGGGAGAGCGCCAGGCACTCTTCCCACGCAGGGCCAAGCAGTGGGAGGGTCCCGTGTGGCCCCCGGAGACGCCCGGTGCTGCAGCCGCTGCCCTGTGGCTTGGAGCCGGAGCCAGGGAGGAGCACGCTGGGACGCCTCCTGGACCCCTCCTCGAGCAGCGCTGCTCCCCTGCGGCCCCGCCTGGCTGACGCCCTGTTCTTTCTTGCAGAAAGCTTTCGGAATGGCCTCCCTGGTCCTGGGCCCCGCGCGGGAGGCGCTCCCTGGCCCGCCCCACAAAGGCCACGCCGCTCACACGGAAAGGGCCGGGCCGGCCGCCGCAACAGGTTCCTCGTGCGCTGCCAGCCCCCCCACAGCCTGGACCACCGGGCTCACCCCTACGCCCGGCCCCAGGAGGGCCCCAGAGCCCCTCGGCGGCGGGGGAGCGCCAGGCCTTCCCGGCGGCCACAGCGGCCTTGAGGTTCCTTCTCCCGTGATTGCGGAGGACTGACTGGTTTCGCTGCCATCGCGGGCCCGGACACAGGTGGCAGAAGGACGGCGGATGCCACGCCCGGTCTCCTGTGGGAGCCACACGGAGCCTCTGGACTTGGGCCCTGGCACTGTGGATTCTTTGGGGGGCTCGATTCTTTGTCCCCCACTATTAGTCAACTCCCCACTTGAAGCCACCCGTCCTCCCCCGTGAGGTCGGAAAAGCCGCGCTGAATGTCGGCACGGTCCGAGGCCCACCGGTGGCTTCCCTTTTGGCCAGGAAGCGGCACTGTTGCGGGTTTGCCCCAAATCGGCTGGGCTCCCGTGCCCAGCGCCCCCTTGGCTTTGCATGTGGCACGAACCTTCCTCGCCACTTCTGTTTCCTGGGGAGACCGGCTGGGATGCGCTCCCGCTTGGGGCACAGCAGAGATGGAGTCGAAGACGGAGGCGGCTGAGCAGAAGGAGGGCTGACCGTCCCTCCAGGTCGGTCCACCTGCCGGTTGCGCCCCAGAAAAGATGCAGCGGCTGTCAGGGTACCTCAGGAGCCCTTCTCAAGGGGTGAGCCCCCTGCAGGGCTCCGTCCACCTGGGTTCAGGCTGGCACCTCTGTCCATGGATGGATCAACACAGCAAGTGCCCCCACCTTTCCTGCGCCATTATGGCTGGATCGGTGGTGCTTACGGCGCAGGGGCTTCGCCTTTGAATCTTCTGCCTAGGCGGGCAGAAGGGGACAGCGGTGGTTCACCAGGCTGTGGGCCAGCTCGGGCCCTCCCAGTGGGCCGCCCTGGTTCACGTGCGTGGCTGGAGCGGCTCTGGGCGAACGTCTTTGAACGAGGCTTCTGCAGCTGAAGTTCGTCTTCATTCTGCAGATGAACTGGCAGGCCCGATCTTGTGCACTGGCTTGGGAGGCGAGTCTTCGCAGCCAGAAGGGCGGGTTTCCTTCCTTTCCTTGGACACCGTAGCGCAGAAGGAGGGTCTCTGTGTTGCTTTCCCAGAATAAATAACTGTTGGAGACTTTTGGCTCCCTTCTGCTTGTCTTCTCGAAGCTGCTTCCCCTCTTTCGCAGATGGGGAGCTGTGTTCTTTGCACATATTCTTCTGCACAGCGGAATTTATAAAGCCCAGAACAGTCCCAGGCCGAGGCAAGGGCAGACGGAGCTGTGCCTGGCAGCGGTGGGCCGCCGTCCCAGACCTGGACCCCGTCGCCACCCACCGGCTGCAGCCTGGCCCTCCCGACCACCCTTGACAGATGGCCAGGCTTGACCGTGAACAGTGCCAGCTGGTTCGGGGGCACAGTCGGGTGGTCTTTGGCATCGGGGCAGGGCCTGTTTTGCATCCTCGTTCAGCCCCCGCAGCAGTGTCACTGGTGAGGGGGCAGAACCCCCGCCTGAGACCCCCTGGAGCTGCTTCCAGAGAGACCGGGCAGCTCGGCACCCGATCGTTAGGGGCAGAGCAGTGGCCTCCTGTGTCGGGATGCCTGCCGAGCAGAAGGCCGCGGTGCTCACGGTCCTGGGGGCGAGACTCCAGCCCCGCCAGCCTCGAAGAGCTGCAGAAGGCAGCAAGGGTGCTCTGAAGCACAGGCTCCTGACGGGGCAGTGACCGACCGACGGCCGGGGGGAGCAGGCGAGGACTCGGAGCCAGGATGTGAAGCGGGGCTGGGGGTGTGGGCCTGCCTGGCCACGGAGGGGGCGGAAGCAGAGGCGCTTCTCTCTCGGCCAGGCTGCAGGCGGGCCCTGGGAAGAACCAGGACCTGCAGCCGGCGGGGCCGAGCAGGGGAGTGTCCCAGACGCAGGCCAGGCGGTCTGGGCAGCCTCAGCAGGGGCAGGTGGCCCACTTAGAGGAAAGGCATGCTCCGAGGAGCAGTGCTCACGCTCCAAAGGGATGGGGCCCAGGCACGCCCCTCAGGAGAATGCCTGGAGAGGAGTCCCAGACAGAGTTCAACCGACCGCTCTGTGCATGCTCCGGGATCCACTCGGGTGTGGGGGGGGGGGTTGTGCTTCCGGGGCAAGAAAAACCACTTCGCAAGGAAAGCGGCTCATGGCTTTTGAGTGTATGGCGGAGGAGCCCCGGCTGGTGACCATGAGGCTGGGGGAGCTTTATAGGGGGAGATGCTCAGCCTGTATGAAGGCTGGAGAGACTGAGCACCCATCCCAGGCCACAGCTTTGATCCGGTGGCAGGCTCTGGCTGCGGGCTGGTTGAGGAAGGGGCAGGCCCGGGCCTCCAGGGTTAGCCTCCTTCTGCGGATTTTGCAACGGCACCCTCCCACCCGGCAGCTGGTGTATTTTTTTCTACTTTTCTTCTGGAGACCACGGGGCCCAGGACTGGTTGCCCCCTCTGGAATATCGGGCAGGAAAGCCAGGTGATTGGAACAACTGGAGAAACGGGGATGCCTTGAAACTAGATGGCTTGAAACCAGGCCAAGTGAGGAACATTGGAAGGCACTGGATGAGAGTATCTTGGCTGGAGAAAAAAATGATTGGAGAGCAATTTAGGGGTCGTCTTCAAAGGAACAAAGGGCTCTCTCTCCAAGGGATGGTCGAATAAATTTTGCGCTGTTCCAGAGGATGTGAGATGGACCAATGGGTTCAAACTGCAAGAGTTCCGGGTAGTGTGCAGTTTGTGGAACAGACACCTTGGAAGGGCATTTGATTTAAAAAGATTTCCAGGCTGCCTTGAAGGCACGCAGATTACCCTTGTTAGAAGGATTTCCGCGAGCTAATGGGCCGAGGGGCGTCCTCCACCAGTCGTGGACGCGACTAGATGACCACTGGGACGCCAGCGGCCCTAGCATTCTACCTGCTAGCAGAGCTGCCCCAACCTGGCGCTCTCCGGAGGGCTTGCACGGCAACCGCCAGCGCTCCTTATCCATGCCGGCCGAGGAGCGGGGCGCCTTTAACGGCTTGCCGCAAACAGGTTTGGGCTGCCCGCTCGCGGGATCGGGACGCCGGGCCGGGGGCCTTCGGCGCAGCCCAGCAGGGGGCGCTGGCGCAGCTGCGCGCGCATTCCCGGGGCCGCGCCGGGTGTGGCCTCGCCGGCCGCTCCTGGCACGTGCTTGGCGTGCGAGCCCGGGGCGTGTGAACGCTGGTAGGTTGCGTGCAGGCAGGCACGGGCGTTGCGGGTGGGGTTCCTCGCAGGTAGTCAGTCTGGAACTATGTTTTTGGACGGGGCGGTTCTTGCAGGGGGAAGGAGCTGGAGGGAGCGCGGCATGACTTCCCTTAACACCCCAGGGCCCTCCGTCTGTTACAGTTACTAATTAATATTTTTATTATATTTATATCCCGTGGCTTTGGCTCTCACAAGGAGCCCGGGATGGAGAAGAGGCCCCTTCTCCAGTGCCATCTGGCAGCAGTTCTGGGGTAGGCCAGGCAGTGCATGGCCCAGCCCGGAGGTCCCGAGCCCCAGCCCAGCACTCTAACCACTAGGCCACCCTGGCTCTTGTCCCCTGCGGTATGGCGGACGCTCTCCCATAGAACCATCCGCAAGGGATTTCCCTGCGCTGCTTTTCAGAGTCGCCCAAGCCAGTGGCCAGGCGCTCTCCCCGCCCGTGCATCCTCAGCCGAAGAGTGTGCCCCGGGGTGGGGGACATAGGCAGAGAATTTGGGGCACGGGGACAGTCAGGATTTAAGCGCACGGGCCGGTCCTGACAGCCCTGGCCTACCTCGCGGGGTTGTTGCAGGAGGTGCCAGGAGGGCCGTCCCCTTGGGCGCCTGGCAGGGATGGCGGTGAGCCGGATGTTCAGCCGCGAGGGGCCCCGCTTCTGAGTAGACCCGCGCACGTGCGTCCACGGAGGGGTTGCGGGCGAGCAGGGCGTGGGATCAGCTCGGGGCCGTAGTGGCCACACCACCCTGCTCTGCAGGAAGCCCGGCTTCCTACCTGATGGCCCAGAGCAGTTGGGTAACTCGGAGGAGGAAGAGGAAGAGAACTGGGGGGGGGGGGCAGATCTCCCAGCTTTCTCCTGGCCTTCGGCGAGCACCCCTCGAGATCCTTGGGCCTTCCACATGGGGAGGAAAGCGGGAATCCTGGAAGAGCAGAGTCAGAAGGGGCCCTGAAGGCCATCGAGTCCACCCCCTGCTGCTGCAGGTCCCCAGTTCACACCATCCCACTCAGAGGGCTGCCCGGTTTCTGTTGGAATGTCCCCAGTGGGCTTTCCATGGAACCCGTGGAAGCTGCCGCGGTGCCAAGCCGACTTGCGGGGCCTGTTTCTGCTACAGCATTTTATTTGGACCTTTTAAAGTGTTGCTTTTTGGCCCACCTACCGCATTTCCCCCACATCAGTCTTCCCAGAAGTAATTCATCCTAGTCTAGAAAGGGCTTGTTGTAGGTGTGGCTGTGGAGTTTAACTCCAAAAATCCGTGGGGACGTTCGGATGTTCGGTGGCTTCTTTGGAAAATGAGTGTAGGATTGAAGTGGGCTCAACGTCGCTTGTGTATCTCTCCCCCCCCCCAAAAAAAATCTGGAGCCAACACCTCTGGTTTAAGACCTGCCAGTGGTGAGGAGGTGTAGCGGACTGCCCTGGGTGGGAGCAGACTCTGGGGAGTGATTCCCATCATCCCCGGCCAACTCCTCTTCCCCTTGTCTCTTTCTGCTCCCGGCAGGTGCTCTTCCTGGGGCGCTGCGGTGCTCTGCCATGCTCAATTTCAGCTCGAAGGAGGCGCGCCAGCTCCTGCTCAACAAGTTCGTCGTGGTCCTGGGGGACTCGAGTGAGTGCGCAGCCCCCGCAGCCCCCGCGTGCTGGCTCCGGAGGTGGCCACGTGCCTGCGGTTGCGCTCTGCACGGGGCCGGGGCCTCGCAGGCAGCCGGCTGACCCCCGCCTTGCGCCCGCCCTCTTTTACAGTCCAGCGGTCTGTCTACAAGGATCTCGTTCGGGTGCTGCAGAACGACTGCCTGCTGACCGCCTCCCAGATGAAGGCCAAGGTATGCGCGGGACGGGGAGGGGGGGCTGGAGGGGCCGCTGGCACGCTCGGCGTGTGCGTGCCCGCGAGTGTGCGTGCGTGGGGGCACCACCAGGCCTGGCACCTTCTGCAGAGAAACCCGTGGGCTGAACACCCTCTAGTGCTCTCTGGGAGGCGCTCCTGTGCGGAGGGGAACAGCGGGAGTGCCGGCCCACCGCCTCTCGGCCCACCGCCTCTTGGCGTCAGCCGTGCGCTCCCCCTGCCGGCCGCGTGCGCGATTCACTGAGCTGCGTTTGCCTGGAGGAGACTGTGCGCCCAGGAAGGGCTGCCACAGAGCTGGGGAGGGAGGCTTTAAATTAAATGCGAAGCACCGCCAGGGGGCTCCCTGGGAAAAGGGCCGCTTCTTGGCTGCAGGTTCAGTTCAAAGAACAGTTTACTGAGGATCTATAAAGGGCGGGGGTGAAGCGACTTGCATGGCCCAGGTGACCCTACCTGGAGCCGTCCTACCTGGGGCCCTCTGTTTGCTCCTCTAGTTTGGCAGTTCGGCAGGAGTTGTGGGTCTTTTTCCCTCTGGACACACCTGGAGTTGCACCCCAGACACTGCACGTCCTGCAGCCTGGCTCCTTCCTTCGTTCTCCTTTTCTGTGTCTCTTGCCTCCGGGGCTGCTAGATTCTCTTCTTAATTAGGCTGTTCTGCTGGCGGTCTTTCCCTTGCAAAGCCCCCCTCACTCTGGCCAGGCCAAGCCAAGCAAGGGTCAGCTGGCGCACGCCGATTCCTCGCAATCCTATTAGCATCACAAGAGGGGTCTCTTTGGCCGTCTTGCAAGAAAGCCTGAGCCCCATCTTACTGACTCAGTGCAAGCACCGTTTGCCCACCCCGTAAATCAGGGGTCCTTCCCGGGGCAGTCAGCCCTGCCAGACTTGGCTGGTGCCTCCTGAAGAGGAACCCATCAGATGCCACGGAAGCCCCTGCATTCCTTTCCGGGGAAGCCCCCTGGCAGGGCAGGAGTGCCGCAGCCCCCCTACCTTTTTTCTCCTGCAAGTGATCCACCTGGGCATTCTGCCTCTGGTGAGGAAGGCAGCACAGGGCCATCAGGCCTAGTAGCACCCTTTTGGCTATTGGGCGGTCTAGAAATAAATCCAGCCGGCTGTGGATCTCCGCCACCTCCAGGACTCTGCCCAGTCCCCATTTAAAGCCATCCAAGATGGTGGCCACTGTTGGATCCCGTGAAGGTGAATTCCACAGTCCAGCAATGTGCTTCTGACGAAGGCTGTCCTTCGCTCTGCCCCGAGTCCATCGCCAGATGCTCCCTGAGAGCCGGTGCCCCCCCCCCCGGGCTGCCACATGCAGATCAAAGATAGGCAGTCCTTCCGTGGTTTCTCGGCCTTGTCCTGCTCCTTGGGGATCCCAGCTCTCTGCTGCTCTCTGCGGTGCTCGGCTGGGCTCGTGGTCTCCCCTGCATGCAAGAGCCCCGGCCGGCCGTCGCTCAGCGAGACGCCTGTGTGGCTGGTTCTCTCGGCTCGCACCTCTCGGGCGGCGTGGTTCATCTCAGAGGTGGCAAGTCCGAGCGAGCGAGCGGCGCCAGCTGAGCGGGCCACGTCCACAGCCTGTCCCCCCCCCTCCCTGCAGGGGGATCTCCGCTTTGAGAACGACCACTTAGTGGAAGGGGGGGTGCTGAGCGGCCTGCACAATGGCACCCACTATCGCGAGGTGCGCCAGTACCGCACCTGCCACCACCTCGTCCGCTTCTACTTCCTGACCCGAGTGTACTCGCCGTACCTGGAGAGCATCCTGGAGGATTTCCGGACCGGATTGCAGCCGGACCTGCTGATCCTCAATTCCTGCGTCTGGGACATCTCCAGGTGGGCTTTTCGCAGGGGTGAGGGGCTGACAGCGCACCTTGGAGCGACCCTTGCGGGTTGCGTGGCGTGAGCAGTGGGGTGGGGATAGAATTTGAAATCCAGGTGTGCAGCCTGTAGCCACTAGGTTGGCCTCTCCCTCTCGGCGTACGGACACTCATGGGTGAGCCGAATTACCTGCACTCTGGTTATATGAAAACTTCTGTTGGCCTCACTGTCGTAGCAGCGCATTCTGCTGAAGGCTGCCGCCTCCCCAGCCACTGCCGTGCAGGTGTGAGCGTGTCACATCTGTTCATTTGTGACTGTGTGCGAGCAAAGATGGATGCCCGCTTGCGATTTGCAGGAAAGAAGAGCAGCGTGCAGTACTTTGTTTCTTGTGGACTGAGGGCGTTCCTGGCGCCACTGTTTATTGAAGACTTTGTGCGCAGGCTGGAGAAGGGTCTGGGAACATCAGGAAAAGTTCAGCATTCAGCAGTGCTCATTACAGTGAGATCCCTACTGCAGAGCTGAAGCCTAAAGTTTGGATTAAGTGCAGCGGGCCGCCGTCCAAGGGTGTTGTGATCTTCCACGACAATGCACGTGCGCACACTTCCGTCCACACTGCCAACGCTGCAAAAACTCCGTTTCGAGGTGCTGCCGCTCCCTGCCTGTAGTCCTGATCTTGCTGCATCGGACTTTCACCTGCTTGGTCCCCTGAAAGCAGCCCTACAAGGACGAAGACTCAGTTCTGATGAAGGGAAGGCCGGCGCATTCATGGCTTGCAACTCGGCCTAAAACATTTCTTTATGAGTGAATACGAAAGCAGACGGAGAAAGTGTATTGAAAAGCAAGGAGATTATGATGGAAAATGAAGTATTTCTCTTTTCTAAAAATTAAAATAAATTCTGCAGCCAGAGTGCAGATAATTTTTGACTCACTGTTTGGATCAGTAAAGACTCGTACCAACATAGGAGAGGCCAGCTGGACCGCAGCAAAGGCCCACCGGCTCCTGCGCTCCGGACACTGGGAGCCAAGCACAAGGTCGCGCAGGCAGGATGGGTGCCGGGCCACCTCCTGCCCAGCTCCTCAGCCGCTGGTGTGGGGAGCCATGCCGTCTGCGGTGAAGGAGGTAGCCCGTGGCCAGCAAGGCTGGTAGCCCTGATGGCTTCCTCCCTCTTGGATCTGGCCAGGCCCCTCTGAAAGCCGTCCGGATTGGTGGCCGTCTCCACTGCCCGTGACAGCGACTTCCAGGTTAACTGTACGCTGTGTGAAGAGGTCCTCTTGCTTGGATGGTCAGGAACTTGACACGAATAGTGAGCTGGCAAAAGACAACGTCGTGGGTCTGTGGGATTTTACTGGACACACCTGAGATGGCACGGGGGGAGAAGTGGGGGTGGGGGGAGGTGGCGTGTTCTCCAGCAGCAGGTGGCCAGCAGCTCAGGGTCTCCCCGGGGCTGTTTGCCCAGCACCAGGGGAACACATTTGCTCCCAACATCAAGGAACCAGCTCTAGCGCCGCCATCGCCCGCTGGGGCAGGGGGCAGGCAGAGCCGACGCTTTGCAGAGCTGAGTGGGGGAAAGCGCATGGATTGGGTCCGGCCGGCATGTGCACCCACGCTCTGGGTCTGGATGTGGGTTGTGGCCGAGCCACGCGTGGTTGCTGCAGTGAGGGTCACTCAGTTCCTGAACCCCGCTGTGGTAACCACAAACAACCCACAAGACAACCCGTGGGCTGCTGTTCGTGACTACGGCTGGTTACCTTGGCTGGGTCCAGATGACACAGGGACTCATGGCAGCAGCAAACTGTGCTCAACCCTCAGATGTGGGCTGTTGCACTGCCTGAATCCTGCGATGGCTCCCGGAGGGAGTGCAGCTGACCGTGGAGGGGCGGGGGGGGGGGCAGAAGGGTCCGTCCCCGCGGTCTGGAAGTTCAGTTGTGTAGGCTTGGGGCTGGGGAGGCTTGCCCTGGCCGGGGTCTCCCGGCGTTGCCTGACCCATCACCTTTCCTGCAGGTACGGCCCGTCCTCCATGCAAGAGTACCGTGCAAACCTGGAGATGGCTTTCAACCGGCTGGACGCGGCACTGTCCTCGTCCTGCCTAGTCATCTGGAGCATGGCGATGCCGCTGGGCCCCAAGGTCACCGGGGGCTTCCTCACGCCGGAGGTGAGAGCCGGCCGGTGGGGGGGAGGGGGCGGCCCTCCCTTGCAGCGCCTCGCTCTTCCAAAGCGCATTTCCAGCTGGAGCAGCAGAGGGGAGCGTGGGGGCGAAGGGGCGAGAGCAGGCGGGATCCGTGCGGCTGGAGGGCGCGTCACGCGAGGGAAGGGGGACAGCTCAGTCCTGCCGTAACATCCGCTGGTTTAATGCCAGCCGCTCGGTGCCTCTTCCTTAAAGCCCGAGAGACGTTCCTCCTGGTTCGCCTGCCCGTGTTGGAGCGTAAATCAGGTGGTCGCTGCCCGGAGGGCTCCGGCAACAGCCTGGAGTCGCGCTGCGGGCAGAATCCTTTTGCTGCCCCGTGCCCGGGGGGGCTTCCGTGGGGCCGCAGGGAGGGATCTTCCAGGGGCACAGCCCTGCCCCTCAGCCAGCTGCTGGTTGGGCCCCCGCTGACCCCTGGGCATGGAGATGTTCCGCAGCAGGGGCAGGCGACCCGAGTGGGGTGGGGCCTGACCCGTCGCTGGCTCTCCGGAGGCCACGTGAGGCAGAGGACGGGGCTTTTGAGTGGTGGCACCGCGTTTCTGTTACCCAGAGAGGCTCACCCGCTACCTGCAGTGTGGTTTTTTGGATGACAGGTGAAAATGTTGTTCCCTGTGGTTTCTACTCCAGTTCTACAAATTGCCCCTTCCATGTTTTCCTGCTGGCTTGTACTTGCTTTAAACAGTTTTAAAAATGAGTCTTCTCTCTTGTGGGAAGTATCCAGCTGTCTTGGGCAAACGCAAATCACATGTAGGAGAAAATCGCAGAAAGTGCTGGGCTTAGCGGCTGCCACGGGGGCGAGACGGGTGGCGCTCCGTTGGTTGGACGCAGCCGGATCTTACCCCGTCTTAACTCCGCTGTGTTTTATGATGTGAAGTTCTGCTGTGTGAACATGCCAGAGCGCTTCACGTAGAGGGGCACAGAAAGGTCTCTCCGGCACTGCATTTTTCCTGATCTTTCCTCCCAGGCATGTTAGAGCTCATGTTTTGAATCACGGTTACTGTATTCCTGTGCTACTCTGGATTGTGCCTTTTGAAGGTGTTTGGCCCTCGGGGCCTGGGGAGGCGTGCCCCAGCGGGCGTACGCCCCCCTCCTGCCCCCAGAATCCAGCCCCTTGCTTTCCCCGCCTTGCAGCTGCAGCACCTGAGCAGGACCCTCCGCAACGACGTGATCGAGGGTAACTTCTACAGCGCCACGCTGGCCACTTTCCACCTCTTCGACGTGCTGGACCTCCACTACCGCTTCCGCCTCGACCTGCGGAATCGCGCCAGGGATGGCGTCCACTGGAACAGCGTGGCGCATCGCCGGATCACCGACCTGCTGCTGGGCCACGTGGCGGAAGCCTGGGGCGTCGTGATCCCGGAGAAGGCGCGGCGGTGGGCAGGTGAGTGGCCGTCCCGGCACCCTCGGGGCGCTCGGTCCATCCGGCTGGCTGGTCCGCAGCCGCCCCCCTCCAGCCAGGGCCCCTCCGGATCTAAAGGGATCGGGGCGACTTCCTGGGCTTCAGGCTGAGTCCTCCCTGCCCTACCTGGGGATGGCCGGGGTCGGGCCAGCTGGTGGCATGCGGCTTCACTGAGTGGCAGCTTTTCTTCATGCGGGGGGGCGGGGGGAGGCGGTGTGGACCTCGATGGAGCTCGAATTGCAGCCCTGCTTTGGGCTGCCCACCCCCTGCAGCCGAGATCGAGATCGGCCGGGGTCCCTCCCAGCTCTAAGTGAAGTGCGAGTTGATGGGACGGAGCAGCGCTCAGTGCCTGCCAGAGGCCCGATTTGCCCCAGGGCATGGCGGGGGGGGCAGCTTCTTCGTCACGGCATGGCGGGGGGGCAGCTTCTTCGTCACAGCCTGGCGGGGTTGCTTCTGGGAGAGCCCGCCATGGATTCGGCGCTTTCTCCTGCCCTTGGGGCGGTGGACCAGCCTGGAGGAAGTGAGGCCGCTCCGAGGGCGCCAGCGCGGCCGCCTTGCAGCGTCTCCCCTGATTCCACAGGCGCCGTGTGGGATCGCGGGCCAGCCATGCCCCTCGCCCACCGGGGGCTGCCGCCGTGGCCCCGGCCGCCTGGCCACCTCCCGGGAGGCTCGGATCACCGCCACCCCCGCAGGCCTCTTCCTGATGTCCCCGTGGTCCAGACCGCCTCCTTGCAGGTGCCCTGCAGCTGGAGCGCGCCCGAGCCCTTCTCCGGATTCGCCAGCTGGTGGGAGTCCTGCTCTCCACGGGTCGACTGGGATGGTATGTTGGTAGCCCAGCCTCCCCCTTTCTCCCGGCACCTGCGGGGCTTTCTTGTCGTCCTCTTTTGATCTGCCCGGCATCTGGAGATGATGCCAGACCTGCCTGCCTGAACCTTCAGCAAGCGAGTTTGCTTGCTTTAGGCAGTTCCAGCTTGGTGCCCGCCAGATGGTTGGGGCTACAGCATTCCTGGTTATTGGCCATGATGTTTGGACCTGATGGGCGAAGGCCGGTACATCTGGAAGGCACCAGGTTGCTTGCTCTCTGCCCTGCTATAGGGTGGGAGGTTAGAGGGGTTGTGGCTCCCTGGCAGTTTGGTTATGGGGTGCTGGGGGCCATAGCCCACCTCTGGGGGGCATCTGGCTGGGATTTTTTCTTTCAGGCACCCTCCTCCTCCTCCTCCTCCCTGTTGAACCTTGATCCATTTTCCACGCCAGGCGGCAAAGAGCCCTGCCTGGAAAGGAGTGCGGGGGGGGCTGCACCCATCCTTGGGGGAGCCTGGCCAAGCCGAAGGACCCGGTGCACACTTGGTGGCACGCGTGGCCATCTCGTCACGGGCGGGGGTCTCCAAGTCACGCTCCAGAACTGAACGGGTCGGCCAGTCCCCCTTCCTCCAAGGGAATAGCACCCTTTCGGGTGGGGAGTACGACCGCAGCTGCTCCTGTTCTGCCAGCCACGTCCACGACCTCTGCTCTCTCCCTCTGACCCATCGCAGCCGTGGCCTTCGACGACCCCCACCGCTGGGAGACAGCTGGCCCGCGTCCCTTCCCACCCTCCACCTGCCACAATAAAGAAAACCGCTCCCCAGAGCCCAGCTGCGGGCGCAGGAGGCCTCACCTGGTCGTCCGGCACCGTCGCAGCTCTGCCCTCCACGTGAGAAACGACTCCCCGTATCGGAGAGACCGTAAGTTCACCGACAAGCACTAACGCAGAGCTGGCGAGCCAGCTTTTCTGGAGCAAAGAAGAGAGCTGGGAAGGACTGTACCACATTGATTGTTTCTCCCCGGTCCATGCCACGTGCACCAAGGTTGACCCGATCTTTGAGTCTGCCTGTGCCAGGGAGAGGGCAGCGTTGCTGTGGGCATGTCTGTCCACCTGTCTGTGGCCGAGGGGTTTGGTTGTGGTTGGTGGTGGTGGTTGTTGGCAGTTGTTGCCTGTCTGTGCCACATTTTTCTGCGCAACAGGAAGATTGTTTCTGAGCCTTGAAGTTCAGCACATTGGCAGGAAATGCTCCGGTTGCTGCCACTGGGTGTTCATGGTATTAAATCCACTCTCGGGACTCTTGACCAGGGACCAGGAAAGGCTGTGCGCCCTTCGAAATTACGTTAGATTCCTCCGACAGATGCCTGGCTCCCCCGGGTCTTTGCTTCATTGCATTTTTCCCAGAGTAACCTGCAAGTTAGGATTCCAACTGTTTTACACACACACATCTCAGAATTCTGCAAGTTCAAACCTTTGAAAACCCCATCTTATATTGCAGTCTTTCCCATCCCGATGCCTTGCAGATGTGCTGGATTGTAGCTTCCATCTTGCTGGCTATGGACGATGGGAATTGCAGCACAAATGGAGGGGGCCAGTTTGGAGAAGGCCATGACAATGGCTGTTTGAGTTTTTAGAAGTTTCTTTTTATGAGACCTTTGAGCTTGCTCAGGATATCTATTTAAAGGCTCTTGTGTCTTTCTGGCAAAGTGTTCTTGGATGTTCTGGTCAGTTGGCAGGGTTGGAGGGGTGAGCCTATTCATTTTAAAAATTAAAAGTTAATTTGTTTCTTGTTCTTGGTAGCGTTGCTTTTTCTCTGTGTCTGTTGTCTATTCGACCAGAGAACTGCCTTGCCATTTCTTGGTCTGCTGGTGCAAACAAAGGGACTTTATTTTACATAGCAAGAACAACATCTTGCTCCCTTTTGGAGACTTGGGCTGGGAGGAGACAGTGGCCGCTTTTCCCTGTGTTGGGAGGTGGCTTGAAAAGGGACTATCACCTCTCTGGGTCTGGCAAGAGGGTTTTGCCCAGTTGCAAAGACCTGGCTGGCCAGAGGTGAACTTCATCTTCCAAAAGTTCCCTTTTGTCACAACTATGAAACAGCAGGATCCTTGTCCCAGTTCACCCGTGTGCTCTCCTGCCTGAGTGATGGTGGCGTAATGGGGGGGGGGGGGGCGCAAGGGAAGGGCCAATACTTCATTGGTGCAAAGCCCCCGTTTTCAGTTCTCTCTCTTTCCACCTGAAGTGTCCTCACTTTAGTATCTGAGCTGGACTGTTCCATGCCTGAGAACTTGGCCAAATCCCCCCATCTGTTGAAGAAGATGCTGCTGATCACGTGTTCACTAGCTTTTGTGTGTGTGGTGCTTGAAATGTATGAACTGTAGAGATTTCCCCCCAAAAAGTTAGTTGCTTATTCCCTGGGGAAGATGATGCACTTTGGCTGTCATCTGGGTCAAAGGCAGAGGGAAGGTTTGAGGCCCTAAAAGATTTGGGGTCGAGCCCAGTAGGTCACAAACCTGCATAACATTTGCTTATGCCAATTTGTCTGTATGAGGCAGTGCAGTGAAGGGCCACAAGGTTGGTGGCCGGTTTGCAGGGGAGGCCGTATGAGGCGAGACTGAGGGAACTGGGTCTCTTCAGCCTGGAGAAGGGGAGGCTCAGAGGGGATCCGTTGGCGACATACAGGCATGTGAGGGGGTGTCACACGGAGGTGGGCAGAGACCTGTTCTCCCCTGCACAGGAAGGCAGGACGCGCTCCAACGGGGCAAAGCTCAGGGAGCCAAGGTTCCATTTGGATGCCAGGAAGCACTTCCTGAGAGTCGGGACCCCAAGGGTGTGGAGTGGGCTTCTAGGGAGGTGGTTGGGGCCCCATCAGTGAGGGTGTTCAAGGACTGGCTGGACGTGCGCATGGTGGGCATGTCATGAGCGGAGCCGGCTGGTGCTGGAGGTCAGACTAGATGGCCCAGGAGGTCCCTTCTGACTCACTCTGTTTCTATGTTTCTCTGAACATTTAGTTCTACCCTGATTTTTTTTTTTAAATAGCCAATTAATTTGTTACCCAAATCAGTGCGAATAAAGTCTGTCAACTGAGTTGCAGTCCACCCAAATCAATAGTTAATTCCAGCTGTGATTAATGTATAACCCCCCCCCCCCCGATTTCCCTTCTGGAGGAAGATTGTTCCCACCTAATGCAGTTAAGCCTAGGGGAGACTTTTAATTGGCACTGGAGGAAGTCCCCTCCCCCAGCTCCATTACCTTTGGGGGATTTTCATTTCTGTGCTGTGCAATACAGAAACCCCTCTGGGCAGTGCACAACAATTAAAACCATAAAATGCAAGATAAACTATACTATAAAAGTTTCAAATAACAGTGAAAAAGAGCAGTAAATGCCAAAGCAATGTAGCAATGATACAAAGGTTAAAATACAGTAAAGAAGCCCTACACAGCGACAGAAAGACTCCAATTCCTGGGGTGAGAATAGGGTCTTCACCTGGCATTGGCAAGAGCCCAAGGCTGGTGCTGGGGGAGTTTGCTCCACCACAGAAAAGGGCCTCTTCCCAGAAGCCATTGACCTGTTTCCGTTTGGCAGGCGCTCCTGGCAAAGGACTCCCCAGGATGATTTTGGAGGCTGGGCAGGTATTTGGGGGAGGAAATGAGCCATGGGGTAACCTGGCCCCAAGCCCTCGAAGGCTCTGAATGCTCCTGGCAACACTTTGTATTGGCAAAGTGCTGCCAAATACAATCCCCCCCCCCCCGGCAGCTGCCCCTCAGCAGCGCCACCGCCCGCTTTCGATCAGGTAACATTTCCAGAGCATTGTTAAAGGCAGCGCTGCAAGAGCCGGTCGAGAGGTTACCAGAACGTGGCTCATGACAGCAAGGCTATCCCTGTCCGGATGCGGATGCTGACGGTCATCGGTGCCACCAAGCCGCCGGAGCCTCTGGAGGAAGAGCTGAATTGGGAGGGCCCCCAGACCCTCCGGAGCCACGCGTGGACGACCCCTCCCTCTTGCCTGGACAGAGTCTCACTTCGCTGGCCCTCATCCAGCCCGGTCCTGTGCCCAGGCACTGGCGCGGGGCAGCTGCTGCCTCACCTGGATTTCATGAAAAAGAGAGGTCGAGTTGGGTGCCATCGGCACCTTGGGGACGCCTCAGCCCCATCTCGGGATAGCCGCCCCCAGGGGCTTCCTGGGGAGGCCGAGCAGCACGGCGAGTGGAGCCGAGCCCCAGGGAACCCCACACACAACCACCACGGCCCTGGCTGCCAGCCCCCCCCCCCCCCCGGCCACCTTCGCATATCGGCCGAGGAGGCGCAGAACGGCTGCGGTGCGGTGCCTCCGGGGCCAAGCCGGACGAAAGTTAACTCTTCAAAGCTGCTGTGGATGATGGGAGTGGAGGCTGCCATGCAGTGCAAGAGAAGCGGCAGGCTGCGCTCTCCCAGCAAAGGCCCCTGAAAGGGGAGGCCGAGGCTGCTGTGGCTCCAAAACATGGGTGCGGACATCCACCCGAGGGTGCCGGTCGCTGGGGAGCAACACCCTGAAAAGGGGTGTTAGGGTCCAGCCTGCAGGTGTCGCCTGGCTCAGCTCAGGCCTCCCTAGCAGTGGCCGGACGACCACCTGCTCCACTCACGAGGTGGGATTCATGGACGCTCCCCCTCCCTGCTAGAGCTGACGAGCCAGGAAGGACAAGGGTCAAGCGGGGAGGGGGGTGGCCACGCTTGGCCAAGGGCCGCCTCTGCCTCCGTGGGCCTCGGAACCAAACCCTCCCAATGAGACTGGGCCGGACGGTGCCCTGGACGGCTCTGCTGGCGGGGCTTGGCAGTGGAGGTCTCCAGGCCACGGCAGTCAGTGAGCAGCGTCACATAACAAAGACGTGCCGGCCGCTGCCTGCGTGCTGCGGGGGCCTCCAGCACCGCTCCTCCCGGCCCGGATTATGGCGCGCACAGGTCAGTGGGAAGGGCGCTGCCAGGCGGCCCTGGGAAGAAGCAGCGCTGGCACGACGGGACCTGCGACGCAAAGAGGCTTGGTGTCAAGTGCCAAGCTGTTCTTGCTCAGTCTTGGCGCCGCTTTCCTCCTGCATCATTGCAGCCCAAATTCTGCCATGTGGGGAGAGCCCAGGAGCAGACCAAGCTGCTGCTGGACAGTGCTTGGGTGGGGAGGATGTGGAGCCGAGGGCTGGCAAAGCAGGCAGGGAAAGGGCTGCCCAGACAGGGGTCTCCCGGGCAGACCCTTTATGCAGGCCAGTGAAGCTCGGGAAAAAGCCTCTCCGTGGGCACCAGTGGAAGGTGGTTCATATCAGTTTATTAATCAAAAGCTTTTCTATCCCGTCCCCGACAAACATCTTGGGATGGCTTACAATAAATAATTTTTTATAGTTGTTACTTTTACATTTCTACACCATCCGACAACTAAAGTTCTCCAAGCAGTTTACAGAAGATTAAATCTTAAAAACACAAGATAAAACAGCACAGGAGCCTCCAGGTTTGAGCACCCAATAAAAGTCCCAGGGACAATTAAAACATTACTGCCATGTTCTGAAATCCGAGGAGCAGAGGGAAGTCTTCAGCTGGGGCGAAAAGGGTTTGTCAGACAAACAGTGTTTGTCAGGGAAGATGGAATATCCGTCCTGGCATGAGACAATCCAGCAGACAACACCCTGGGAAGGGCACTTGGGCGGTGGCCCCTGACCATGAAGACCCCCCCCCCAACCCCCATGAGGTCTGCCGGGCACTGCCACCTCCCCAGCCCCAGTACAAGGCTAGGGCAGCACAGAAGTGCGACGAGGGAGTGAAGCTGGGTGACTCCTGGACAGATGTGGAGTCGCCGTCCCGTTGCATCATCCGGTTGGAAAGCATGGGCTGAGGGGGCCATTCTGTGCCCTGCTTTGCTCCCTGGGCCACCTCCTGGAAAAAGGCACCAGCGGGATCCTGTGATACCATGTCCAGTTCTGTGCACCAAGTTCTAAGGCAGATGCAGGAAAATTAGTGCCCAGCGGAGGGCGACAAAAGTGATCCAGGGTTTGGAAATGCTGCCCTGTGATGAGAGACAGAGAGAACTGGGCATGTTCTGCCTTGAGAAGACTGAGCAGGGACATGGTATCGCTCTAGAAGGACCTCAAAGGCTGTCACAAAGAGGAAGGTCCAGATCTCTTCTGGCTGATGCCAGAGTGTAGGACATGGAATAATCAGTTCAGGTTGCAACAACCCAGGTTCAGGCTGGACATCAGGAAGAGCTTCCTCACCATCAGAGCAATAGGACAGTGGAACCAGCTGCCTGGAGGGGTGGGGGGGCTCTCCCACACTGGAGACATTCAAGGGGAAACTGGGCAGCCACCTGAGTGGGGTGGTGTGACTTGGTGTCCTGCAGCAGCAGGGGTTGGACCTGATGGCCTTCATGGCCCCTTCCAACTCTTCTATTCTGTGATTTCATAGCAGTAGCAGTAAATGTGGAATTCCACCAGCTTCGTTACGAGAGACGGGCAGACCACCCGGACTCTGCGGAAGCCCAGGCCCTCGTACACCCGCTGGGCTGTGAGCTGCGCCATCGAGGTGCACAGCACCACTTCCTTGTACCCCCGCTCCCGGGCAAAGCGGAGGACCGTCCAGGTGAGAGCCTTGGAGAGCCCGCGCCCGCGGTGCGCCTTCTCCACGGACATGCGCTTCAGCTCCAGGGCACTGCCCCGCTGAGCTGGGTCCTCCGGATGGACGGCGGCGACCATTCCCACCGCTTCCTTGCCGGACTCCACCACCCAGAAGCAGCAGTCCTTGGGCTCCAGGTAGGTCTGCCGGATGTTCTGCATGTCTCCGGCAAGGGCTTCGGCGACATAATTTGTGTAGAGGAACTTTATATAAATCCAGCCCACGACCAGAAGGGCGGCCAGAAGTCCAAGGGAGAAGAGGAGGGATCCGGCGATCGCATAGGCCACGAGGAAACCCACAGCCAGCAGCACGTGTGTCTGGAGGCAGCTGAGGGCATGGCGGAAGGCAGCGGAAACGTGCTCCTTGATCCCCTGCGAGAACATGGTGCGCACCGCCTCGTAGTCTCGGTCCTCGTACTCGCGGATGCGGTACTCGCCCATGATGGAGTCACAGTCCCACCGGCCTGGGGAAAAGACGGGGTGTCAGGGGCACGGCTGGGCATCCCCATTTGCCGTGACGCATTAGGGGACACAGTAAAGCCCATCACCGCATGTGAATCAAGTCTGGAGGGTTCTCAGACTTTCTGCCCCGGGACCGTGAAAGGCTGGGACTCCCCGTCCTGCACAGAACGGCAGCCTGGGGGTTGGCGGAAGGTCCGTTCCAAGGAGGAGGCAGTGCTTTCATTATTCTAAGGGTACGGCTACGTTTGAACCCGCTGTTCTTCCTGGGCAAGGAGCCCATGGCAGTGCTCTTGATCCCTTTTGTCTTCACAGCAACCCTGTGAGGGAGGCCAGGTGAGGACTGGCGCCAGGACCTCCCGAGTCCCAGACTCTTTGCCTGTGCACCCCACCAGCTAACAAGAGGCACTTACCAGTACCTATAAACCCACTGTAGGTATTTGCCACGGATGCGGAGGCCATGGGGACCGGGGGCATTTTCAATCTCCTGTGGAAGCAGGAGCCTTTGGGCTGTGCTTCGTGTGCTTGGCTGGGGGGGATCTGGCCCGCCCGCCCTTCGGCTTCCCCAAGGCTTTGTACCCACCCCCAGCTGCACTGGCTGCAGTTCCCATCATCTGCAGGTGCCAAGCCCGATGGAAGCTGTAGTCCCTCACCTCTGCAGGGTGCTCAGGGGGGAAGGCAGTCCTGTCTGCTCAACTGTCGTAAAGGTGTACCTTCATGCTGCTGCTACAGAGAAAGCAGTAGATAAGGGAAAGTCAAGGCAGGGTGGGACCCCGGAGCTCTGCCCCCGACTGCGTTCAAACTGGCCTCGAGCCTCTTCCTTACATTACAGTGGTGTTTTTACCTTTTTCACAGCTTCTGATACTGGTTTGATTGAATTGCATTTAGCGATTGTCAAGCCTCCGTGAGCTCCGTGTTTTGGTAGGAAGGTGAGGGACGAGTCCAAAATACGATACTCTCTTACCACAGGGGTGAGTTGGGAACGTAGACACAGAAACAGAGCGAGCCAGAAGGGGCCTCCCGGGCCATCTAGTCTGACCTCCGGCTCCAGCCGGCTCCGCTCACAACATGCCCACCATGTGCATGTCCAGCCTGTCCTTGAGCACCCACACCGATGGGGCTTCGGCCACCTCCCCTGGAAGCCCATTCCATGCCCTGGGGGTCCCGACTGTCGGGCAGTGCTTCCTGGTTCATGTTCCTCTGAATGTGACTACAGCTCCCATCAGCCCCCACTGCTAGGTATGCTGGCTAAGGCTGCGAAAGAGCGCTTGCCTGGTTAAAAGCAAAGCAGGTGTCTGGGGACACAGCCGGGCAAAGGACTAGGTGGCAGTGAGCAGCTCCGGACCCTCGGGAGGGTGGGCCCGAAGAATCCGTTACGGGGTGACACGGCTCGCAGGCAAGTGGGCCCCCACCCTTTGCTCCACTGGGGTCCCGATCCGGACCATCCCAGCCCGGCCTCTGAACCTTCCATTGCCAAGAAGACCCACCTGAGCAAATGAGGGCCGGCGAGTATTTCGGGTGCTGTGGGACAAACGGCCAAATCCGCCCTACCCCAGGCTTGGTCTGGACGGAGGACCCTCTCCTTACTGGAGAGCAAGCAAGAGGAGTGCTGCTTCTGGCACTTCCAAAGTGAAAGGGAGCCTCCCAGATCCCCCTTGTAATAAAATCCCGGGGCAGAGGGACCACGCGAAGCCTTGCTCAGCCCCTGCCATGCAAACCTTGCCCCCTTACCTGCTGCCAGGTGCCCACCCAGCGGTCCTTTCCAGGCTAGCCGGGGCTGTGAGCTTCCCTGCTTTACGGAAGCTGCTGCTGGCTGGCTGGCTGGCTACCTGCTTAAGGTATCCGAAGCCCGGAGGTCGATTCTCCTCCCCTCCTCCGAGGGTAACCAACCAGAGAGCCATGCTTCGTCAATGTGCTGCGTTAAAGAAATAACTTTAATTTGTTTAGCATGGATCGGGACAGCAGCGTTTCTTTGTTGAAGGAAACCCTTGGAAATGGTACCCCCTTAATTCGGTTTGTCAGAAATCCGGCTTCAGGTTGCCAGGAGGAGAATCCATGTGTCTAAAATGAAAGATGCCGCTGAATGGGTCTTTGCTCTGCTGGATTGCATATAAACTAATGAACTGGAACAAAGTTCAGAATAGCTCTGCAATTATTAGAGTGATCTAAAGGCAGGTGAACAAAAGTCATACAATCCGGGGAAGTTACAATCCCTGGAAGAAAGAACACTTAAAAAAAACACACCAACAGCTAGCATTCTCTCTCAAAATCCAGAATCTCTCGGGTGCTTCTGAGGCAGAGAATCTATGCATGTAAGGTATGAAACGTACAGTGAGAAACTGAAGCTACAAGTCCATTGTACTAAGACGAACCTGTTGCAACCTTAGCTATAAACTACATCACCTGGGCTAGGCTTCCCCTCTCCCTCCCTGGATGGTTGGGCGCTGGATCGTCAGCACTGGATCGTTGTCGGCATTGGGTTACAATGCTCACCATTCCCTGGCCAGCATTGAACTACAACTCCCAGCATCCCCTGCCCTCAGCAGGGTGTGTTCAGTTTGTGCCTACCACCCCATTCCCACGGGCTCTGGGTGGTAAAGAAGAAATTAAACCACACCCAGCATCCCCTGTCCAACACTGTGCCGGCTCCAAAGTCCGCAGCGCGTGCGTGAGCTGCCACGAACAGCTCCCCAACCCCGGCAGCCTCTGATGTCGCGCTCAAAGTACCCGCACGGTGCAGAGGCCGACCAGGTGGGCCTCACGCCCCTTGAACAGGCAGGTAAAGCAAGGGGCCATTCACCATCCGCCGGGGATCCCCTGCCACCAAATGCTAATACAGGGAAGAAAAGTATTTCAGTATTTGTATTTCAATGTATTTTATTGTGTTGTAAGCCGCCCCGAGGCTTCGGCAAGGGGCGGCATAGAAATGTTTAATAATAATAATAATAATAATAATAATAATAATAATAATAATAATAATAAGGCTGGCATGGGCTTTATTGCCAAATGCCATGTCTCTGTGCTGGACAAGCAGGCCATCAAAATGTATAACACCAAAGGCGAGCAAAACGCCAACAACCAACCTGCACGCATGATGTGCTCTGCAAGACACGGAGACGGCACCCCTGGGCCCCCGGGCAAGGGATGTCAGGATCCGTGGGGCTCCTTCTGACCGAATACACCAAGGACTGCCCCTCAAGTTTGAAATTCTGGAATCGGTACGTGTGTTTTTTAGAGAAACAACATTAACAAAGAACTCAAACAGGAGCAGGCAGCTGATAGAATACCCTGTTTAGCTGAAGTGGGAGGGCTGCCAAGGAGCCAAAGTTCTTCCTTTCCAAACACGCTACTTCCAGTTCCTTCCCAGAGATAAGGCCGCCAGCTCAAGGCGAGTGCCTCTTAAAATGCTGCCTCAGATGTTTTTCTTAAATACTGTTAAAGGACCAAATAACAGACAAAGGTTATGTGAAGGTGTGTTGAGGAATCCCTTTGAATGTCTAACACAAGTAGCCCTGATGCCTGCAGACTAGGCATAAGGGACACCCTGTCCCCAGAACCCCTAGGATTCTCTGCTCAGCTGTTCCCTTTTTTAATAATATATGGACACAGATTTGGATGAAATGCATACAACTTCTTAGCAGTTGTACACATGCTACTTCCAGGTAGCTGTAATTAAATGTGACTCAGATGGTGAAAGATGATCTGGAGAAAAGAAACCAAAAGACCTAGCTGCCAAATCGCAGTGGTTTCTATTTCTCAGACTACCATTTTGGGGTTTCTTCAAAATGGGAAGTCAGTTTCCGGTGGCCATATTGCAAAATGTTGCTGGTATATAAAATCGGACCCAAATTCAGGAAAAGAAAGTGAAGGGGTGCACTTTGCACCAAGATGGGATTCAGCAGAGTCAGGATGTTGCCAATCGTGCCAAAATCTTGACTCGCACACCCAGTCTGTGCGTATGGTGGAGTGGGTCATGTTTCAAACAATCGGGGGAAAGAAACACACATGTCAGGAAGCCCCTTGGAACCGTCAGGTGTGCTGTCTCCCTGGAGCAAAGATCAAAGGTACACCTGGCAGGCCAGCAACACTGATACACCCCACTGCCACCCTCTCCCCCCTTCTCATGCATGTGGGACTCATGACTCTGCAACGGGGGCTTTGAGGAAATTATGTCAGAATCTGAGAAGAACATTGGGGCCCAGACAGTTTTCTCCCCAATCCTTCCAGTTCACGCAAGTGCAAAGGACGGGGAAAATCCTCCATGCAAGTTCCTGGCTATGATTATGGTGCAGCCAGAAGAGGTCTGGATTCTGAAAACTGGGCCCAACCGTCCTGGAAGCTGGACTGCTGGCAAGGGATGAGTTGCACCTTACAAAGCATGGAGAGGGCATGCTTGGCCACAGCACAAAGAAGTCTGTCATGGGGGCTTCAAAGGGAATTCTTCGGGGGGGGGGGGCAGGTGGACTTCTGGGTGCACATCAACTGGCAAAGGAATTTATAAGCATAGAGACAGAGCGAGTCAGGAGGGGCCTCCCGGGCAATCTAGCCTGACCTCCGGCTCCAGCCGGCTCCACTCACGACACGCCCACCATGTGTATGTCCAGCCTGTCTTTGAACACCCTCACCGATGGGGCCTCAACCACCTCCCGGGGAAGCCCATTCTATACCCTGGGGGTCCTAACTGTCAGGAAGCGCTTCCTGGCATCTAAATGGAGCCTGGGTTCCCTGAGCTTGGCTCCATTGGAGCACGTCCTGCCTTCCTCTGCAGGGGAGGACAGGTCTCTGCCCACCTCCGTGTGACACCCCCTCACGTACCTGTGTGTCGCCAACAGATCCCCTCTGAGTCTCCTCTTCTCCAGGCTGAAGAGACCCAGTTCCCTCAGTCTCGCCTCATACGGCATCCCCTGCAAACCGGCCACCAACCTTGTGGCCCTACGCTGCACTGACTCCAACCTGGCTATATCCTTCCTGTAATGAGGGGCCCAGAACTGAGCCCAATACGCCAGTTGTGGGAGCACCAGAGTAGTAGTCATACCTCTCTCGATCTAGAAGCCACACTTCTGGCTATGCAACCAAGGGTGGCATTTGCCCTCTTCACCACCACATCACACTGCTGGCTCATGTTCAGCCTGCAGTCGACCAGCACCCCGAGGTCCCTTCCACAAGTGCTGCTCTCCAGCCACTTGTCCCCTAACCTGTACTTATGACAGCTATTCCTATGCCCCAAGTGCAAGACTTTGCACTCATCCACATTGAACGCCATCCTGTTGTCTCCTGCCCACTTCCAT